GCGCGGGCACGGCGACCCGAAGCGGGTGCAGCTTGTGTCGTCTCTGGCATGGCGTTGTTGAAGTCTGGGAAGCTCAAGTTCTCGCTGTTGGGGGATTCTGGGATAGTCTCACGCAGCGGCGTCGAGTTACCGCTGGTAGGAGGTCCCCACATTTGCGGAGTTAGGCCCTCCTGTGCCTGAATCTCGCGTGCACTGTCAGGGTGTTAGCTCGAGTCGAGACTTGTTTCAGGGTGCGACATACCGTTTGGAAAATAGTCGGCCGCCATAGTCATGCGAGGGGGAGCCATTGCCGAGCCTCGCACCCGCAGCGGCGGCACCCAGTGGGTTGGCGGCATTGCCATAGGAGCGGAGAGAGCCGCTGTTGGGGGGCTCGACAGGCGAGGTGTTGCCGGTCGAGGAGCCCGAGTGTGGCGGCTGGGGCAGCTGGGGGATGTAGTTGAGGTTGATGTGGTGTTCGGGGCGGTTGGTGGGAGCCATTATGGATTACAGACCCTGTGGTGACCTGGGTAGTCTATACGGGAAGAATAGTCGTGGTGACTCGGTTACCAAAGCCAGGGTAATGGTGCGAAGGAGGGTTGGTGCCGGCCAAAGGAATGTGAGGCGGAGAGGATTATTGCCAGCAAGACCGGGCTCAGCGCAGCGCAGCCTGTGTGTACGGTGGAGACGACGACACCCGTTGGATCCAGTCCGGATGCGATGGTGGAGCTTCAGACGGCGGGCTGTTTGCCGACAAGGAGTGACGGAGGATTGGCGGTGGTCGATTATGGACCTGTACAGCGGCAGGCGGGCGGAATAGACAGATCACCGGAGTGCCTGGAGAACAGAAGTAATAGGATTAAGCGGACGATGGCCGATTAAGCATCCGAGCTCGGGACGAGGCCGATACAGCTAGTTGTCGCAGGAGGGGAGGGGGAGAGGGCGATGGAGCGATGGAGCGATGCGCAACAGAACAGAGGGAGTGGTGAGGTTCGCTTGATAGAAATGGGGAGCCACCAGGAACACGAGGGAAACTAGCTCAATTGGGAGGGCTGCCAGAACAAGCACGTTACAGGTTACGGGCACGATCTACGCGGTCGGCTACGGTTGCGGGCGGGCTGTCCAACGTCGAGTGAGGGTTTCTATTGCACGGCAGCTGCGCATTGCTTTTGTAGAAATTCAGGGGCTCGCAACTCGTCGACTACCAGTCCTGCAATTGTGTCCTTGGTCGGTGGCCGCGGGACGAGGGCAGCGCATGCCCGCTACCGTCTGAAACACAGAGGCGCGTCGAGAAAGTCCGTTACTCCAGAATCTGACGTGGACACTGTGTGCCTCTGGCCGCTTTGGGGCTGTGATTGGCCTGCTGCTGCTAAACATGGATTAACGTGCACCTGGGGTCCTGCATGCCGACCGACGGCCTATCAAACTTTGTCCTCGACCAAGCTGCAGCAGTGCCCTCTCTCTCTACCGTCTCTACACAGCAATCTGCATTGCGCCCGCTCAATTGCAACTAGAGTATGGAATACATCACATCACTATAGCCTGCAATGCATGTCCACGCAATCGAAACAAGCTCTCTTCTAGAAAACATGCACGTCAGACCACTGCGGATATGCCTTTGTCCTGCATGTCCTGCAAGTAGACAGCCTGACAGGCCATGTAGACCCAAAGAGCTTTAGTGAGGCGTTGACATGACATGGTGCGGTACCTTGGAACGACGTTTATCAATCATAAGCACGCTATGTTTCAGGTCCCATGGATCGTGCCAAGTCTTTCCCGCTGACTTGGCGACATCTCAATCGCCCGTCGCGTCATTCGCAGGCGCGTGCTCTCGATCCATCGCCGACGACTGCATGCAATTCAAGACACAGTACAATCACGTCGCTTGAAACAACCCACCAAACCCGCATAATACCGCAACGCCAGACGGCCCCGCCGCCCTGCAGTCCATGCTGGATAGTCGTTCACCCCACAGTTGGAGCGCATAATCCGTGTCTCATGGAAGTCTTCTGGAAATCCGCACCACACCCTTGATCGCTGCCGTCCGACTCGCTTTGCCTCAGGCTCCATCCGCCTCGTCTGCACCTTCCGCGCCTGCCTCCGCGCCTGCCCTCCAATCTCTCTCGACCACCATGTCCGAGCAGCCACCTCAGATAGTCATGGAAGATGCCCCGCCCTCTCCTCACGATGACGAGTCCGAGGCATCCCAAGATGAGAGCGAAGAGGAAGCGCCCGCAGAGCTCATGGTCAAGACCAGAGCCGGGCGATCCAATGCCGGCAACCGCATGGCCAACCTGCTCGCCAATGCGGCCGAGGAGGAGGAGGAATGGGGTGAGGAGTGGGAGGAAGCTCCAAACGAGGAGGAGTTTCAGGGCGATGCTGTCAATGAGCAGGAAGACTACAACATGGATTCGTCATCATCAGACGAGGATGACGATGGCGCCGACGACGACGATGCGGGCGAAAAGGAATTGCGCAAGGCAGAGCGACAAGAGCGGAACAAGAAGCGCAAAGCCGCCACAAACCCCTTCACTGCACGAGTCGCCGCCGTGACACGCAAGAAAGTCAAACTCGATCTCCCGCGTGCACAATCACCCACGCTCGCCCCTCCGCGCCCCAAGAAGAAGTCTGAGAGGGCATCATGGCTGCCTACCGAAGAGGATGGCCCGGTGCGCATGTCGATGCGAAAACAGACGGTAGCCAACAAGGACGCCACACTGGCCAAGCTGAAGGAGAAGGACCGGAGGCGCGATGACACCCTGGCCATGATGAAGGCCGCAGAGGCGCGGAAGGAAAAGTCCAAGGAGAAGCCATTAACGCAGGCCGAACGGCTTGCTGAGGCTGCCCGAAATGAGCGCATCAACAAGAAGACTCTACATAGATGGGAAGAGGCAGAAGAAGCCAGGGCAGCAGAGAGGCAGGCGAAGATTGACGCCCTGAAGAACCGGCAAATCGACGGGCCTTTTTACCGATACTACAGCGGTCCGGGCATCTGGGTCGACGACAAGCTCAAGTACACAGGCAAGGATGCGCCAAGTCTGGAGCATCTCGAAGAAAAGCTCAACAAGGAAATTACGGCTGCGGAGGCGCCAACGACACAGCCAGAGTCGACAAACTTTCCGGTACAAGCGCCTGAAATTCATGCGGATGAGCAACCATCATTTCCGTCTCTGGATCCATTCAGTAGCTCATCACAGATACCTTCGATACCAGCAACGATGCCACCACAACAAGATAGTTCACATCAACCATGGTCAGCAGCAGCATCACAAGGCGGTGACGTTTTCATGGGCTCGTTTGGCATGCAACACCCTAGCACTGTCATGTTCGCACCTCCGAATCAAGATTCGTTTCTCTTTGGCATAGACCAATACGCTCAGAACCCGCAATCCCAGTCCATGCATGGCGACGAACTTCCTCCTTTTCCCTTTACGGAAGCTTCTCCCTTCCAGAACCAATATGCGACCTCACAAGCAACTCTCTCCCAACAACTACACCCATCTCTCAGCGATCATTCTCTACTTCAGCAGAACGGTGATCCAGCAATAGGGACCCAAGCCCTCATTGCACAATTCCAAAAACCAGCCTTACCTCCTCAGCCACCACGACGCAAAGTCATACGTCGAGCTCTCCGCAATCTACTAATCCTGTCAAACTTTCCCAACCTTGACGCCCCACAAACAACATCATCGCGAGCCAGAACAGCAGCCTCACTCCTCAAGGAAAAGGACAGGTCAGCCTTGGTGCAACTCTATGCTGCGCTGTTCAACTGGACTCCTGCCGAAGCTACAGAGTACATACAAAAGACGCTCATCGCGCCACCGAAGCCACCACGGAAGAATGCTGCGCCAAAAGCCGAGCCAGAAATCGTGCTCAAACCAGGACAAAAGCTCTGTCCCATTACCAACACAATCGCCAGATACCGCGACCCCGAGACAGGTATTGCGTATCGTGACGCACGCGCTTTCGGTGTATTAAGAGGTGTGGTAGGAGGCGGTTTCGTGTGGAGTGGTGATTTGGGATGCTACGTAGGAGGTCGGGCGAGACCATTAGAGAGTATGGGAGGCAAAGGGTTTTTGGGTATGCCGCCAGCAAAAAACGTGCCCAGACGATTCTGGGAAATGTCAAGTCCATCAAGGAAGGTCATGGCGCCACCCCCGCCCACGCCTACTCCAGCAACAAAACTGCAGACGCCAGTCCAGGAACAAGTGCAGAGTGTGGAACAGCCCACGCCGGTGGGACAAACACATGGAGATACCATTGTTGTTGCTACACCGTCCGTGGGTGGGAAACAAAGTTCTGCGCCTGTCAAGGCGGAGACTGCTGCTGGGTCGTGAATGCTGGATCCGTAGATACCATTCTTCTCTGTAACAACACGCACGATTTCCACATAATATCAATAATATCATTCTGACACTCCTGGTATCCATCGCGTTACAAAACCACTTATCAAGGTCTTCCCAAGAGATTGTTGAAGTCACTGCTCAAGAACGCTGAAGATCCTAGCGGTATTGTCTACAATGTTACTGACAACGCTTTTCTTACCGACCTTCAGGACATGTCAACTATCATCGAATCAGCTCCGACTATGTTCAAATGTCTACAGCATACTTCCAACGAACTAGAAGTAGAGGTGAATAGTGAAAGTGAAGGCGATTTCCAGTTAAATCGGAGAGTGACACCAGTACCATTTCTTCACTGAATACTACGCTACGGACTGCTTACCCCAGAACCACCACCCTGAATGTACACCGTGAGTGTCCCTGTACGAACTGTAAGTGAGACATGTACTAACTTTATGCGCTTACATCTAGACTCGCCGTCACGATAGATATACACGGCGCTGGTCTGATCACCCAAAGCTCGCCCATCTTCAGGAAAGGCATTCCTCTCAAACCAAAACACTCGCAATCGATCGATTTGGCACCCCGATACATCATCAAGACGTCTGCGCACGCCCGTACAACGAGAGAAACCATCCATCGCCCCTCCCGTAAGCCGCGTGTTTTACCCAACTACCCACGATGAAGTATATTCACGCTATCATACTCATACTCATCCTTGTCGCCTTCTTCTGCTGTTTCTTCGGCTACTGTCTGATGAGGAGCTGTCGGAGGGCCGTTGATCTCGAGTTTCAAGAAATAAACTACATGAGAGATGTTGAGGCGCAGGCTGGAGGAAGCGTTAGTGGAGGAGCGAGGAGCAAGGATGGTAGTAAGACGAGGAGTAAAAGTGGAGGAGCAAAGAGTGCAAGAGCAAAGAGCGAAAACGGACAAGGCAGCAAAGCGACGAAGAGTGCTGGGAGTGGAGGTGGAGCAGCGAAGAGCAACGCCGGTGGTGATGTTGCAGGATGGAACGCTGGTGGAGGTGGAGGAGCTCCGTGGGACGCCACGCCTGCGGGAGACAGTGGTGTCAAATGGTAAAAATGGCTGAGACAAAAGGAAGCATGTTCATGAGTAGTTTGGAGATATGGAAGAGGAAAACAACTACCGAGACGGAAGACGACTCAGCGATACTGCCTGTAAACTATCATAACCATGATATGATCGAGGCACCTGGGGAAGTCGTGCACCGTGTAACGTCTAATGCGAGCACGAGCGTCTAGAAGACGTTGTACAAGTTTGTCCCTCGAGCATGTACCGCAATTGATATTAAGTTCTCGGGAGCCTTTCTCCCTCGATGCTAGATGGGAAAACAAGCGCTGAGTATCGAGCCATTGAAACTTAACTTACCAAACTCATTTGTTTTGGCGTGTGTTGCTACTGCGTTGGTGTGTTCGATGGTTGGATGCCATATTGCACAACGTACCGGATGTTTGCTGCATCGTTGGCCCTCGACAAACTTACTACAGCCTAGCTAAACGACAGCAGATATCTATCTGGTTGACAGTTGCTCCAATACAACTGTCTTCCTACTCCCCACCTTTGTTGGCGTTTGAATGCTCTTGCCCCGCTTCAATCCTGTTCCTTTATTGCCCGTCATGGCAGCAACCAACCTCATCATCGCGCTTGTTTTCGCAGGCGTCTTCGGCGCAGCCTTGATCTACGTCGCCCTTTGGTTCATTCATCGCTACATCCATCAGAGCTGCTGTGAAATTGAGCATTGGTGTCACACACTCTTTTCAAGTCAAGCAAGGCCACCGCCATGTGTACACATCGGAAAAGGGGAGCAGCGAGAGCCGCCGAGGCACCAGTCGAGATCCACGAAGAGGGAGAGAGAAAGACCTGAGGGATCGCAGACCAGGAAGTACTACGAGCACCGAGATGGAGAGAGCCACGCTGCTCGTAATCCGAATGCAGGCTGGGCGAGGCCGATGCTACAATTCAATAGTTCTACGCAGCCACAGCAGCCACAGTCATACGGACAGTTATACTATCCTTCGCTCGAACAGAAACAGTGGCCTAGTGCGAACCAAGTCGATTACCCGTCGCGAATACAGCAACAGGTCCCAGTGCCATGGCAGACTCAAGGGGTGGCTCATATGCCACCTTTCGCTATGCCTACAGCGGTACCGCAACAACTGTTTCCGCAAACGACGGCAAGGATGCCTGAACCTCAGCACCCAACTCAGTATCCTCCTCAGTGTCAACCCCGAGAGCAACCTAATTATCGACAGACCTACACGGAGACGATGAGTTCGGATATACCCAAAGCCAGCCAGCCCCGGACCCCTCCAGTGAAGCCGAAGTCTGCCGCTAGACGTGCACGTCGAGTCGAGAGAGTAGATTTTATCCACATTTGTGATGAGTATCCACCTATCGTGTTGGAGGCGCTGAAGAAGGCAGCCCCTCAGTCATCTTCATCGTCCTCATCAAGCTCCAGTGACACATCGGGCACCACGCAAGAAGTTCCACGGGTATCGATACCGCGAGCGACGCCTGGTTTCGCGGACACGTTGCCGTTCGAGTTCCCGCAATATCCGCATACGGCAACGAGAGCTTGGAATACTCCTAGATCATATCCTCGACAATGGAATCGCGACACGATGGGGGTTCATGGGCCGGATACTTCAGCCAGGTACGCACCTTTTACGCCGACGAGCGGGTATGCAGCGAGGCCATTGGGGTTGTACACGAATAGGAGGCGTTCAGCACCGAGTAATGCTCACCCTTATGCCGCTGCTCGTTCGTAGACTGGAGGTTACTGTTCATGAAATGTATGCTGACATTCGTTGTAGAGTCTAGCGTTGCGAGGTCTCGCTCGTACGAGCGGTGGAGACAGCGGACGACAAGTCCGAGAGACAGCGGACCAAGGAAGGACCAACCTGGAGGAGAAGCACATGCTGTGAGAAGAACGAACACGAAGCTAAACGAAGACACACGCCAGGGGAACGAGAGGGAACGGGTCGTTACTAGTGTCCGAGATGAGTTCGGTGGACGGTACGATCGACAGCCCGAGCAGAAGCCAGGCAAGGAACGTTCATCAACAACACAACAGGTTCCACGCTACTCTCCGATGCCTATTCCAGTAGTCGAAGAACCATCTACGCCAACGTCGGTAGGCCACACAAGTATACCGAAGGTACCGTCGGCTTCCGGCAACGCTGCTCGACCGAGAACTAGCTCAGCGCCACTATCTCCTATTTCACAAATCCGAAATCCACTCAAGTTGCCTAGCTCATCCGTATCAAGTCTGAACAAGGGCGAGTAGTGGCAGATGCAACGGGGGAACTGAGGATAGTCTTGCGAGGGTAACGTGCGTAAAGGATCACAGCAAGGGTTGTTGTGCGGGCATTGACCTCCTGCAAGACGGCATGGAACAACCAATAGTTGGAAGTGTTGTAATCAAATGCGTAGCTTGATGAGGCTGTGATGAGATGTGACATGTATACTGCGTGCAAGCCCCAAAGATTACGGTAGAACCTATTGTTAGCATGACAAGTCCGCGTAACCTGGGAATGGCATAAGCCAGTGGTTTGAGGTGTGTGGAGTGATGTCAGGCAGTGCAGGTGTAGATACGCATTCGTATATGGATACGCCAAGTACGCGTCCTAGAGCGATGGAAAACTCCGCGCGATCTCGGTAGATGTGTCTTCGCTTACTGAATCGATTGCCAATGCAATGACCGAAGACCAAGAGGCCGAGATACAGACCAAGGACCCATGTGCAGATTCTGATGGCGGGCAATGACGGACCACAACCGGTAGAAGCTTCAGCTGAATAGGCTCATGGTGCGAATTTGAGGCGTTACTGGCGAAGGATGCATCTCGGTCCCGAGGTGAGGTCAGCTGGGAGTGGGAAGAAGTTGGGCGCGCACGATGCTCTGTTTAGGGGGCGTGGTGCGAGTGGGCAGTCTGGAGCGTTGGGAAACAGCGCCTTGTCAGATCAGCCCGCCGTAACTCCAACGACGCATTCGAAACGGCTATCCCGCTGTCGCGACGTGCTATTCGCGACTATTGTGTAGATGCCGGGGCTATGTCAAAGGTTATCCACAAGTAGGTTCGTCGGCGGCGAGTGGTGCACGTTCACGCTGCTCCACTCGGCTGGGTGCTGGACCCTGGCATGAGGGAGACCCCAACCAGGCCGTGAATTGCGCGTCGTGCGTGCGTCCCCAAGATCGGAGCATGGCAGCTGCTGGACAACATTGCGCCGTACACCCACCACCCTCCCGCCTTCCCACCTTGTGACTCTGCGAGCTACAATACCACACTCCTTTCTGCGGTTGTACTTAACATTGCTGCACGCCTCCACCCAACGCCTGTACTCGCTCGCTCTCGCTTGATGGCGGACCCGAGTAACTAGGCCCCTTTCACTCACCAAGGAATCCTTCCGATGCTTAAACAATCCCGCCAGCCCATACACGAGTATGAGCTGGTTCCACGCGAATCTCTCGATGGCGACGACGAACAGCTTGTCGGCCAGGAACCAGGCGCCTCAAGTTCGTCGCGACACTCGTGGTTGCACCGCCTGAGCAGCCGCTTCAATGCTGTCAACAAGCTCTCTGATCGCGCTGTATACGCTCACTACGTCACACCGCGCCGCCGGAAACGGTCTATATTGCGGCTGATCTATTGGACTCTGTTCTCTGTGCCTTACATCCTCATAGTTTTAGTGCTGGTCGCCGGTATCTTCTTCCCGAGTTACACAGTCAGGCCTCCACACTACGAGGAACTGCGCAAGCGAGCCACTACCACGGGGCGCGCAAACCCCTACAACGAGAAGATCTTTATAGCCGCCTCGCTTGCCGAGACCAAGGGCGACTTGACGTCTGGCGCATGGGGAAGGGAGGTCCTGGAGCTGGTAGAGCTGCTGGGACAGGAGAATGTGCACCTGAGCATATATGAAGACAACCCCGATCCAGTGACGAAACAGTCGTTAATCTCCTTCCGCGAACAGGTCAAATGTGAGGAGCTCCGCCCCCTGTCCGAGACTGAAGACGACTAACCACCCAGCCAGGCAACTCCACCATTGTATCCGAAGATCTTGATCTCGCTACCCTTCCCCACATTACGCTACCCAACGGCGACAAACGCCTCAAGCGCATCGCCTTCCTTGCCGAGGTGCGCAACCGAGCCCTTGCCCCGATCGACAAACACGGCGTCAAGTTTGACAAGGTCCTGTACTTGAACGACGTCAACTTCGATCCCGTTGAAGCTGCCCAACTCCTCTTCGCAACCAACATCGACTCGACCGGACGTGCCGACTATGCAGCGGCATGCGCTGTCGACCACATCATGCCCTTCAAGTTCTACGACCGCTTCGCCACGCGCGATTTCGACGGCATGATAACTGGCTTGCCCTTCTTCCCGTGGTTCACCAGCGCGGGAACAGGGACCAGCAGGGCCGATGTGCTCGCAGGGAAAGATGCGGTGCGGGTGAGGAGTTGCTGGGGCGGAATGGTGGCTTTTGAAGCCAAGTGGTTCCAGGAGGGGACCGGAGCACAGCCAGAACCCGCAAACCCACAGAACGGGACGCCTAATCACAGCATCTTCCCACTTCGGTTTAGACACGACAACGAAACGTTCTGGGAAGCGTCCGAGTGCTGTCTGATCAACGCAGATCTCCAGTACCGAATGTCTGGAAAAGGCCGGCCTGCGGAATCTAGGATATACATGAACCCGTTCGTTCGGGTAGCATATGACGAGAAGACCCTGAGCTGGCTCTCTTTTATTCGTCGCCCGGAGAAGCTCTACGCTCCAATCCACGACATTCTCAACTACTTCGTTGGCTTCCCTGAGAAGAAGGCGCGCTTCGCTGAAGAGCCTGGTGAGCTCGTAACAGAAAAGGTCTGGATCTACGACCATCCGGCTGCAGCTTTTGCACAAAACGCCACCGAAGCCGATCTTGAAGGTCACTATGAGGAGCAAACACGGAGAGCGGCACCTGGTGGTTACTGTTCATCGCCCAATCTCCTTGTCATCAATGAGAAGCCCGAACACGGCTCTGGTGCGTGGAGCAAGATCTTTGTTCCAAGACCCCCCAAGTACTGATTGCTCGACACACGACCACTGACGACGACTTTTCTTTCACACATACTTTGAAACCTCAAAAATTTTCTTTGTAATGCATAGCGGGATGTTTGGGAAATACGGCGTTTCTAGCTCTTTGAGCTTTTCTAGAATTTCTACAACATGGTCATCAACAAGCCTCGATTGAAGAGCATTGCCCTCAACTTCACAGCGCAGGTACATTAGGGACACTTCAGGAGTTATTTTTGGGACTACCAGTTTAATGCGTGTCCGTCGACAAGGTGCTGGTGTTGTCTTCTTTCATCTAGTTTCAACTTTGATATCAGAGCCAGAGTAGCCTCGAGATTCATCAGTCATACAATGTCAGATGTCACACTTCAAGTGTCTTGTCTTCCTTTCACCGCCTCCGTGTTTTGGCACTAGTGACACTGCTCATGTGCCCTCTCTCCTCAAAAAGCAAAAGACGAACGGTCTCTTGGTCGAATTGAGATTCTTTTTGACATCCCCAGGCGATGCTTTGAAGTGCTCCCATTTCCTCTTGACGTCTGATATTGTGACTGCCATCCGACGTGAGGCGAGCCGCGAGGCCCTGCCACCTGAGTTTCGGCCAATGACGACACGTGTGTATCAGTTAGCCTTCTCGCCAAGCCGCTAAACCCGAAGATTTCCTTGAATGCAAGATACGCGCTAGGGGGGACAACACGGTGCGAAGAAGACGCCTCATCTGACCGGGTCCTTATTGTATATACAAACTTCATCATCTCTTATCGCCTGCTGCCTGCTCTCTAGAACGATTTGATCGCCTTTGCATTTCCGCGACTATCCCCTGCTCGCGAAGACAGGAAGCTTGGCACAACGACGTCATCAAAGGAACGTACCTGCAGGCAGATATGGTTCTCGATAATGACACGCGTGGGTGGATAATGACCGCGGTCAGCGGCATAGGTATGTTTGCGCGGGCAACTGCATAAAACTCAGATGAAGCGGGCGGGCTAACGCGTAAACAGCATGCACATTTGGAGGTAAGATTATCCCCACGGTAGACTGAATCTACCGGTTTCCGAGAACTTCACCAAGTCCAGAAACTAAAGACGGCTAGCTTCGATAATATGCGTCGACCTCATCGTACGATATTTCCCCGGCAAGAAGAATTTCAAGATTGAAGAAAGTAATGCATTCTTGTCGACGGGACTGAGTCTGTCCTTTGGTGTCATGGTGCGTACCACCATCGTCATACAGTTTCCAGCACTTGCTGACTTAATTTCAAGATATTCTCGTCATTATATAGCATGCTTCCCTCGGCAAAAGACTATTTGAAGAAGGGAGGCATGTCACCACGAAATGCGATATTAACATTAATCGGTTGCTTCCTGATTGGTGCTCTTGGCATCTCAGTTCTTTCCGGAATACTGCACCAGTATATTCCACACTCCGTCGTGGACTGCGACGACAAGCATGGTGACGAAGAGCAAGGGAATGGTCATGATCACCACTCGCATTCTCATCCACCAATGCAGGAGCAACAGCCCAGTCTTCCGCAAGCCCATAGACATGACGAGCAACCCTCATACGGAACTAACAGCGATAACTCGAAAGCCGCTCTATCCCGGAGACCATCGTTGCACAAGTCGCTGTCATCCAAAGTATCTCAACTAGTCATTGGTGCCGAGAAACCATGTGACGATACGGATAGTGGACAATGTTATGGCGACCTGTGTGAAGTTCGGCCTGCACGCTTGCAATCGAGAAAGTCCTTGGGAAGCTTGACAACTGCACGGCCGTCAGGAATGAGCAGGAGCCAAACATCACAAGGACCGCATGAACGTCGAGCAATTTTGGAAGATGTTGACGAAACAACACCCTTGGTACCAGCACGGTCTGGGCCAGCTACAATGGAAAGCTCCTTTGCAAGTCTGCCGCCTTCTAATGGTCACGCAACATCCAGTCTGACACATGAAATTCAACCACTACAAAAACACAGCCGCTCATCCTCCACTACCTCATCACACACTGATCACCATCATCATCACGACCACGACGAGCATGACGAGGCGCAACAACATCATCACCACGTCCCAACGAACGCTTTCCTCTCTCTCGGTCTGCAAACAAGCACAGCAATTGCTCTGCACAAGATTCCAGAAGGCTTCATCACATACGCTACAAACCACGCCAACCCGACATTGGGCTTCTCCATTTTCCTCGCATTGTTTATCCATAACATCACCGAAGGATTTGCGCTAGCACTACCTCTCTACCTGGCGATCGGCTCGCGCTGGAAAGCGATGCTGATCTCGGCTGTCCTGGGAGGCGTCAGTCAGCCGCTAGGCGCAGGTGTAGCAGCAATATGGTTCAAGATTCAAGGCAGAGGCCGACAGGATGGTACAGATGAGGGAATGGACACTATCTATGGATGCATGTTTGCTGTCACGGCAGGTATCATGGCTATGGTATCACTGCAACTCTTGGGAGAGAGTCTAGATATGACAAATTCTCGGCGTCTATGCTTTGTTTCTGCATTTGCGGGTATGGGAATCTTGGGACTGAGCAGTGCACTCACGGCGTAGACATACATGGTTTTGCATTTCGACACCAAAGTGTTGGCAGTGACGCTGTAGACGAAGAACGTATCTTACTTACGTAGCATTGAGATCTATCAGTTTGGAGTGAACGTATACAATATATGTTACATCATCTAATCATACAGTACATATCTCTTTAAAACTCGCGCAAAGCATCAAGCACCTCCTTCTGCCTCTGCGTCCCCATCTTCTCAAATCCATCCACACTCATCACAAACGTGCCTCTTCCACCTGTCAGAGCCCTAAGTTGGTTCAAATAACCAACCATCTCCTTCAACGGTACTCTTGCCACAATCTGCCTTTGGCTATCACTCAATCCGCTTCCCATCTCCCCCGTTCCCGATGCAAAAGGATCCGGAGGGGTATAGATGAGCGCAGGATCAATACGCGGCAGCGCCTCTTCGTCGCCATTTGTTGTCGTGGAACTCATCGAATCATCCGACCCATCTAGTGACAATATCTGACCACCGCGTGAAGAAGAGATGTCTTGTACCACAGCGCCCATATTGTTCTCGTTCACGAAAATGGTCACGTTCATAACAGGTTCCATGAGCGTTGCTGGTGCGGCATCGCAGGCGTGTCTCAGACTAGTTGATACTGCAGCGCGGGTAGCCATGGAAATCGCTGTTGGTGATGTTTCGGGGAAAAGATGGGATTTCGCGTCGAGAGTTAAAGTTACGCGGGTGTTGGCTACGGGAAAGCCGTTGAAGGGACCACGGGCGAGAGCTGCGCTTGCACCGGCTTGGAGAGAGTGTAGGATGCCTGGTAGGGAGAGATGGGGTGGGATGTGTGTTTTGTGGCTAGCGGAGTCGGAGGCGGAGAGATTGGGATGGATTATATGGAGGGTGTTGTTATCAGGGAGGTTGTAGATGGTTTCGAAGGGATTGTCCTGCATTTTCTTTTCTCGTTCTTGCTGCTGGGGTGGACTGAGGGGAATGAGATTACCATCTTCTGCGGACTCGACGGAGGCAGTAATGCTGGCTTTTGTTTGTTTCCCTGCGACAAGCTTGTCGAGAGTGTATGTAAACGGTTCCGTAGCTGTCATCGTTGTGATCGTTTCTCTGTATCCAATTTCAATTTTTCCAATCCGCGCTTTGGCTTTGAAGTCATTGAGGAGCCTGTCTCGGGCAATTTCGAGATGGAGGTCGCCCATGCCTGCTAGATGCGTCTGGCCAGACTCCTCATCGACGGAAAGATGGAGACTAGGGTCTTCTCGCAGCAGGATAGCGAGGCTCTCTTGGACATGCTTTTGTTCACTGAGACTGTTCGGTTCGATACTCGTGAAGAAGACTGGTGGTGGGACGGCGATGGGTCGGAGTTGTAGAGTGTCCAGACCACCCGACGGTGTTCCCTTCATCTGAAGACCACGGTATACAATTAGTGTATCTCCGGTTCTAGCATGTTTCAATCCGGTGATGACACCAATTTGGCCGGCACCAATGCTGTCTACCTCGACGGCATCGTTTGCGTACATCTTGAGGAGCCGAGGCGCGCGTTCTGCGAGGGATAGGTTCGTATTGTAGAGGGTGGCACCCCGGTCAATGGAGCCTGAGTAGACACGCACGTAAACCAAAACGCCGCGTTTCGCGTCGTTGACCACTTTGAAGGCGAGAGCACATGCGTTGAGGTTCTTGACTTCTGCGACAGCTAGTTCGCCATCGCTTTTCGGCTGTTTCTTTGATGGCTTCGTCGTTCTCGTTGGTGTTGCTGCGGCAGCATTAAGAAGGGTGGCGAGGGTGCTGCTTTGATTGGAGATGCTGATTTCAGGATCGGGGCGTTCCAGTGGAGACGGGAGGAGATCGACGACCGAGTCAAGTAGCGGTTGGACACCAATGTTGCGGAATGAAGCACCAGCGAAGACCGGTATGACTTTCTGCGGTGCTTGTAGTACGACTCGGCGTAATGACTGCATGATTTGTAGTCCAGATATAGCCAAATGATCTTCATCGTGTTCCAGAAAATGCTCAACCATAACATCGTCATGCTCGCTCAAAATCTCAACAAGTGCTACTCTCGCCTTCTTGATCTCCTCTGCGAACTTTTCGTCGGTCTTGCTCAGCTCCTCCAGCCCAAAAGCCTGGATATCCCTTCCATCGCCACCCGCTTGCCAGAGCATACCACGTAGATTGACGGCATCACCAACTCCAACAAAATCGCCGTTGCCGTTCTTCCACCATGGTATTTGGCACACAGCTGGCCATCCATGTAACCTAACACCTATTTCTTTGACAGTGCGTGAGAAGGCAGCACCTACGCGGTCCAACTTATTGACAAAGATGATTCTGGGAATATGGTACGTTCCAGCTTGCGTCCATACCTTCTCCGTCTGCGCTTCAACGCCGGCGACTCCATCAAGGATACATACAGCACCATCCAAGACACGGAGCGAACGCAACACTTCAAAAGTAAAATCTGCATGGCCGGGTGTGTCGATCAGATTGATGTTATGAGAACTTGAAGATCGTGGAACATTGTCGAACGAAGCTGGTAGCTGCGGTGGAGGTAGTGGAGTCTGGGTACTTGGTGGTAGCGGAGGCCAGTGGAATGTTATCGCTGCAGATTGAATGGTGATGCCGCGTGCTCGTTCAGCCGGGAGGAAGTCGGTTACTGTTGAGCCTTCGTCAACATTTCCTATTCGCCTCGTCACACCACTATAGTAGAGCATCCGCTCAGTGGTAGTCGTCTTTCCTGCATCGATATGGGCGATGATGCCTATGTTGCGGGTTGCCTTCGAAAGTAAATCATGTTGAGGCTGCGTCGACAGCAACCGCCGTGGAGTCTTCACATGGTGTCGCAAGACTCGACGGGTAGACGTAACCCATCCGACCCTCATGCCCGAGACTGCTTGCTGCGATACTGATGCGCTGAGACGATGGTGTTTGTCCGGCGCACGTGATGTCAAGAAGGTCAACGTTCGCGCTTTGCCTAGCTCGGCTAATTCCAGGGTTGGCCAGGGCACTCGCCCAGCGACATCATCGCATCACTCGACAGCTAGTTGCAGCTGTCCAGAGCTTCAATTAACCACCACACGCCATGGATTACAGCGCCCACGACCCGGACCACCCCGGCGGCCGCGACCCATGGGCATCTTCGCCTCAGGCCAACCGAACGTCCTTTGGCCAACCGTCAGCCAACGATATCCCCTCATCCCCGCTGCCTCCGCAGGCTTCCCCGTACCATGAAGGTGGTGAACAGTATGGCTACATGGGCGACCAAGATGCGCAAAGTCGACCAGGCACAGCGCCAGAGAACGGCGACCATCTACAGCAGCCTCAGCAGCCGGGTCAAGATGCGCCGAGGTCACCACATGCACAGCAAGGTCAGCAACAGCCGCAGAGGTACCACGGGAATAGACCGCAGCGACAGCAGCAACACTACAAGCTTCAGGCCAAGGTCACGGGACTCGAGAGGAATAGCAAGAAGGACCCTATACTGCGATTCGATGTTTACGTACGTCTAGATGACATTGATATACCCGGGCTAGGGTTGCGCGACATAGTGAACATCGAGGGATGGATCAAGGTAGACATGTGGTCTCCAGACGTCTTGGTCGGACTGCATAGCTACCTCCGATCCTGCTCATACCACTTGCGCCTGGCTCTCAAATCACTTGCCATGCTGACTTGTCTCTAGACGAACCTACCCAAGTTTCGAACGACCCAATTCCGCGATGTCCGACGTCTACACTCCGAATTCATAAAGCTAGGCGAGCACCTCATCTCAGCTTGTCCCGAAGCCATCGTGCCTGCAGTACCGCCAGCGACCACCTCGGCCGGCGCAGGCACCGACGAAGATGAGGCACGCTTAAAGACGTCGTTACAACGGTGGTTAAACATTGTGTGTAGCAATGACATCCTGATACGCGACGAAGAAATGGTCTTCTTCGTCGAGAGCGATTTCGGATACAGTCCTGTCGTACGGAGGAAACAACCTGCCACTGGTGTGCGCCGTAAGATGATCAAGCAATTTGCGCCGCCGCCAGATGACACCCCAGAGCTTGCTGCAGCACGACCAATTGTGAAAGCTTTCTATCTGGGTACAATGGAGGCTGAGCAGAAGCTGGAGAAGGTTGTAAAGCACAGGAGAAGTAGGCATATCCACAAGTAGATTCATGGATGCTGGGCTAACATACTCCAGATCTGGGTGTTGCAGAGTCCGACCTCGGTGCCAAGTTCGCGGCGCTACACGTCCAGGAGACGCACGTTGGTCTCTCACATGCATACAAGAAGCTTGGAAAAGTCATTCAGGCCACCGGCGATTACCACGCAGCTCAGGGTACTGCTGAAGCCACAACTCTTGGTGACCCTCTACAGTACCATAGCAGCGACGCCTTCATCGCAAAGGAAACCCTCACGAATCGACACATCCTCTTACGCGAGCTGCTCCAGGCACAGTCCGCGACAAAGTCTAAGCTGTCTGCGGCTGACAGGTTGAAAGCCAGCTCTAGTGTAAAACGGGACAAAGTCGATGAGGCTATCGCAGCTCTAGATGAAGCACGGAGTCACGAACAGTACCTCACGACGAAAGCTCAGCGCGTTACCGCCAACCTCCTCCAAGAGCAGCGTAAGTGGTTCAACAGAACCACACAAGACATGAGACAGGCAATTCGCGAATACGTCGTACGAGAGATTGAGGCTGAGCGCCGTACGCTTGCCACATTAGAATCTGTACGGCCAGACATTCGAGCTATCGATGGTAGTGGTGGCCTTTCTCGACTGGGACGCGAAGCACACCCAGCTCAACGCCGTGTTTCCATGGCCAGTTCGCAAGGTCCCAAGGGCGATGCATGGTCTGGCGTACCACGGCGACCAGGTGATGGCCTCAACCGTAGCATGAGTGGCAGCATCGTTGCTCCGTTACCCGAGGTCGATGAGAACGCGGAAGAGTCAGTGGGCGGCAGGAAGCGTGCGACAAGCAAAGCAGGCAGCCAGAAGGGGCTCGAAGAAGATGACGATCGCATCGACGCAAAGAATGCTGCAAGTAGATTGGCCACTACGACGTTCTAGGAGCAACTTCGTCTGGTAGGTTGAAGTGTATTGGGCAAGGCATGGCGGATCGCATTCTTGAGGAGAGCGACTGCAGGATACCACTCGACATTTGTATTACACCCCATATGAGCCCACCTCTGACTGTTTCTCCATGTTGTGTGGCATCTGCTATGCTCGTCCGCGGACGTGAAAGCAGAGGCCGCACCTTCCGTAAAAAGATGCGATGAGTCGACGTCGGACTAGCGCTAATAAATGATCGTTGTTCTGTCTACATCACAACGTCCTTGTCATCTTGTCTCATCGTCATAACTCTTGTTCAGTCTCTGGGCACGCGCGTTCGTTTGTCGTCTACTCATCGGCCACGCGCATCCACAACCAATTCAGCATGGATTGCTCCGACTTTTCGAAGATCATGCAGTCCCGATCTACCACATATGCATCGGGGCATATCGCCCGCATCAGTACGTGGCTGCAATATTGCACTTGATTGAGTCCCGGTACCGGGACCTGCCTCGGCTTTTGACATCTGCTACGGCAGTGAAGGCTGCAATCCAGATTGGCGGACGTGGCAGCTGCACACTATCCTAGTGACAATCACGGTTCCAGAGTGCATCAGTTGATCAAAGAGCTTTTCGTGCCAACCTGGACCGCAATCAATACAGCGTGGCAATGGATATTACAAAGTGTGGGGTTGCATATTGCATTTCGACCATCTGGACGGATGGCGGCAGTCCTCTGCGCTAACACTATTTCGAGCCCATGCCGCCTGACTGACAAGCGCACTTGGGTCTGCGCCATCCTTCCAGAACCGTGCCACGGCGCCAGCCGTTTTGTACCATTCTTGCACGGCGTCAGCTACTCCGACGTGGCTTTTCTTGGGCCTTGCCCAGCCGGGAGGCCTTAACAAGAGGCGGAAGACACATCAAACTGATCCTAAATGCTCCACGTCTTGCGACAGCAGCGACCATTTTCGTAGTCTATAAAGTCATAGACGTCCGGAGACTTGATTCCCCGCAGAATGCGACACAACAATCCTGGGACCACTTCCTGTTGTGGGGCGCGAGACAAGGGTTGAGGATTGCACCTAACCTTGGAAGAGTACGCGCGCCTATTCCGTGACGACGACCATCGTATTATTTATACCTAGCAATCATCCCTTCAGCCTACGGATGGAGTGCTCGCTGTGCCACCAGTGCACAGTAGTGTCGAGCAATATCTTGATAAGCATCCTAGACATCGTGGCATGTTGATCGTCACGAAGGGGAGCCTTTCACAGTGGTCAATGATTTGACTCTTTTACAGACTGAGAGACTAGCATATTCGCAGAATCGTATGCAGTAGACATAGAGCTTAGCAAGCTCACACTGATAGAAAATCTCCCTCAAGATGACTACGTAGAGTCAACACGACTCCGCAGAGCCCAAGAGTGTCAATATCCAGCGGCACGGCGGGTTGGACGGGAGCAGGGTGAGCAGCCACACCATCTGACCGTAAGCGAGACGTCAACCGCCAGCAGCTCCGTGCGGCCCTGCGTTCCGGGTAAAGTGATGTGCGACTTCAACCTGATCACACATCAGGTGGTTCTTATGAGGTACCCTAGTCTGCGAATAAGATCACTGAAAGACACGAATTATCGGAAACGCTTTTCCTCCATTGGCTTCACTGAAACCACCAACCCCATTACTTCACGCAGCCTATGGACGCCTTCAGCCGGGATGTCCGAAGGCCAACGTCCAGTTCGGTCCAGCCTGGATAGATGGATCATACCCGCAGCCACTGGCGATGTCTAGGGTCTCGGGGACAGCCATGGCGAGCACTCATAACCTAGCAGAGCCCGCGTCCCCTGCAGACACCTTTGGTTGCCTTGCTCCCCTACATTGATGATCCCCTCGCTCGAGTCTTAAGTTTGGACGTACATTCTCTGCAAAAGACGCTTAGAGTTCAGACGCTGCAATCAACGTCGCGGATCGGCAGACATCCCGGCCATCTTCCATCCCCACGGGGCACACCCGACATTAGAAAGCCAATAGCCGCAGATCTCTCGCAACCATGCCGAGAGTGTTCAGATATCTGAAAACAGCGCTTGCGCCTAGTATCGGGCCTGTGTCACCACGAGAGTCAGTCGATAACAACAATTCGTCACGCAAAGCATCATTCACTTCTTCAGCCGATGACACATGGCTTCCAGACTTTGATCCGCTCACAGTCTCGGCGTTCGAGCTCTCGGAACTTCTGAATGCGCAAGCCCTCACAAGCGTACAGATTGTGCAGTTATATCTAAAAGAAATTGAACAGCATAACAGGAGAGGAAGACAACTGCGCGCGTTAATCTCGGTGGCTCCGAAACATGAAGTGTTAAAAATAGCTAGAAAGCTTGACGAAGAACGAGCTAGAGGCAAGATCAGGGGTCCGCTACACGGTATTCCAATAGTACTGAAAGACAGCATCATGACCGATGAGAAACTGGGCATGGACACCACAGTGGGTATGTGGCAGGCAGACAGCCTCGATTGTAATCGGTAACTTACTTGGCTTAGGATCGTACGCCTTTGTAGGCTGCATACCGAAGAAAAGTGCAACCATCGTTCAACGGTTGATCAAACGAGGTATGATCGTTATTGGAAAATCCAATTTGACAGAGTTCTGTGGCCTCAAAAATCCTTCTATGCCTCCAGGGTGGTCCGCGGTCGGTGGACAATGTCAGTCGCCGTACGTGTCAAGACACATCGAGAAACGAAAGCTACATTGGGAACTTTCAGCGCCAGGGGGATCTTCGACTGGATCCGCTGTCGCAGTGGCTTCAGGTTTCAGTACTCTTGCCATCGGAACAGACACTATCGGGTCTCTAATTACGCCTGCAAACCGCGCAGCCCTTTACGCTCTAAAGCCTACAGCTGGTGTGGTGCCAATGGACGGTATCTTCAATCTGAGTAAAACCTTTGACGCCGTCGGAGGCATGGTAAGCATATGCATATCTGTCAGCTCGTACCAGAAACACTGACTGTGTGCTATAGGCCAAATCTGCAAAAGATCTTGTAGCGCTGATGGATGCCATGATGGTTCCAACCAACCGCGAAGAACACACAAGGAGCCCACATAGATCGTTCAAAATCAAGCCGGACTTCGGATCGCTCCGTATCGGCATATGTGAGCCGACCATCTGGAAAGTGTGGCGAAAAAGTGGGCGGATCAATGCCGACGCTGAACGATTCATGGTATGTTGGTGGACTTGTGCTTACGTGGGTGCAACGAACACACGTTATTTTGCAGGGGTTCGTGTTGTGTTGGTGCATACAATGCTGACATGATGCAGACACAAAAATACGATATGATTGTTCAGAGTATGATCGAGATGGGAGTCGATGTCGTGTATCCAGTGGAATTGCCAAACCAATCAAGCTTGACTATAGACGGAAAGAACTGCTTTGAGCCTGTCGTGTGTTAGTATTCGGCTCTCTGATTTGCATTGTATGTATGCTGACATGATACAGACTCCGAGTTCAAGGATTGTTTAGCAGAGTTTATCCGCGATTTTAGAGTCACGAAGATGCACTCTTTGGCTGAGATTATCAACTTCAACCTAGATCACCCCGAGCTGTGTCTGCCACCAAGTAGGTCGATGCAGACTGCCAAACCTCTATTTCTTACTAATCCTAATCAGCATGTCCGGACCAGAACGATCTGATGGCTGCGCTGCAGTCGAGCACCAAGCGTGAAGAGGTGAATGCCGCGCGGCAACATCTTCAAACTGCCGGCGGACCTGAAGGCCTGGATTTTATCTTTGCTACAAAACAACTTGACCTGATCGTTGCTCCCGGCGACGCACCTCTCTCTACCCTTGCAGCAGCAGCCGGCTATCCGACTGCCGCATGCCCGCTCTCCGCCCTGAAGCTCAACGGTCAGCCTTTTGGCATAACCTTGGCTTCGCGCCCGCACACCGAACATACACTCCTTCACTTTCTGACAGCATACGAGAATATCTTCCCTCCACGCGCACTACCCATGCCTCTCTCATCCGTGCCTTTGCAAGATCCAAATCCAGAACCTTTGCCAGATCAGCCAATCATCGATCTAATATTGCATGAGTGGGATACACGAAGATTTAGTTGCAGTGCGGATGCACTTGCAGATTGGCTGAATGCACGATGGCGGAAGAGCGGTTATGAATTGAGTGCGGAGACAGTCTGTGAAGTGCTGCGGAGTAATGGTCGGATCGCATTTAGGGGCTTGGGTGATGATGCTGAAGGTGCATTCTCGAGATGATGAACGGGTATGTTGTTACTGTTGTTTTGGTGGTGCATGGGTTAGCGCGGCGTCTGGTCAGTTGAGTTCTGAATTTTGGTTGGGTAAAGGTGGTGTTCGGGCAGGATTAGCAAGGGATATCCACATCCACTCAATCTTTGTGACTCATAACAGAATCTGCGCACTACGTTCCGCACTTTGCGTAAGTCAACACATGGGAGGTTGACACGATAACGAACACTTTGAATGTATATGAGCTTACGGGATATAACAGATAGTTTATATTGTACTCTGATAGCGTTTTCTTCATCAATCAATCAACAACAAAGCTGCTTGGCGCAGCGGAAGCGCGCCGGGCTCATAACCCGGAGGACGCTCGATCGAAACGAGCAGCAGCTAGTTGATTATCTTTTTGCATTTTTTCGCAGCTCTCGAGTTGATCCTTTTTTTGGTTGGCACAATGCAGTGGAAGACATGTTGCAGGGCTGTTGTGGGGCTTTTGTTGATCCTGCCAGTTGCTCTTGCGACGCTTCAATCCTTTTCAGCTGATAGAGTGTGGCAGTGATTGCATACGTGCGAAAAGCACTGCTTTCTTTACGCGAATACAGCTCATCAGGCGTAGGAGGAAATTAGCTTTTTACACTGTGCGCGCAAAGCCAAACCCTACCTTGAAGGTAGTCGCTATCTTCTAGGCTTGTGGAGGTCTTTGCTAACAACTCTGTGTACCTCCAGGGTAGGTAGTAGTTCTTCGTATGACTTATGTAAAACCTGTGGTATGACGTGCGTACATGCCGACAAGGTATCGTTTGCTAGACAATCAAAGATCCATGCGAGGATGCAAGACCGAGAATGAGTGTGTGGAGTCTCAGGTTCGTATTATGTACCTGTTACAAGTCTGCTTAATATCAATCCTTAGACCGATGCCGCTGACACTATTTGCTACATAGAGTTTCTGAAGTTATGCCTGAACTTGGTTCATCTCGAGTCTTAATCTTCTAGAGAGGCACTCAATCCTGCGGTAAGAGCCGGTGAGGCAGTGTGTCGCATCGGCGAATATTTCTAGTTACGTTGTAGGACGGCTTGGGAGATGACCGCTATCAGACAGAAGTCTCGTTCATCTTTGTTTGTACTCTGAGCGATGCGCTCGCGATACTGTTTCCAGTTTCGGCGGGTCTTGGGTATAACTCATCGGCTCTAGAGAACGTACCGATATCTTCAAGCTAGATATCCACGGAAGCACGAGAAGTTTGGTGGCCTTGGGCCCAACAATCATATTCAATTGACTATACAATGCTAAACAATACAAACCGAATCATGCTTCAACAACTCTCATTTCCGGGCGGCTCTCCATCTTCCATCGAAGTTACAGATCGCGGTGGCGACGGCGATCTTGGTAGATGGTGGTGTAGCTCACAGAATCGACACTGGGTAGGACAGTGACCGTGGAACAAGGTGGGTCGGTGTTGAAAATGGTTGTGACAGTAGAGTAGCCTGGCGCAGTATCGAAGATGGTGGTGATAGTAGAGTAACTTGGTGTAGGTTCGACGATGGTAGTGATGGTAACCAAAGGAGGCGCTGGCGCAGAACCAACGACAGTAGTGATGGTGACCACGGGTGGAGAGGGATTAACTGTGACGACAGGCGAGGGATATACAGTGGAGGTGCTGATGGCGATAGTGCGCGTAGGAAGTTCGAGAGTGCTTGTCCGTGGAGAGGCATCGATGAGCTGCATCTCATAATCCTTGTCACACCTCTTCATATCTTTGCTGGGCTTCTGGATCCGAATTTCGCCCCTATCCTTTCCTCTGCCATCCCATTCGCCATCTGCACACATCTCCGTGCCAGGTTGGAATGGGTGATCGAATTTGACAGCCCTATGAAACGATTTGCGGGGTTCGAGATCGCCGTCCTTCTGGCCAACTTCAGCCGTGTAAATCGACTGGTCGATGATTGTATAGACTGGTTTCCCGCCAACCATCGTGTAGAGAGTCTGGCCAGTAACGGCTGGTGAGGCAACCGGGGAGACTGGTCGCGGTCGTGTAGCTGTCACTGTAACAACTGAGGTGACCGGGTCACCGGCTGTCACTGTGACAACTGGTGTATGCGTGACGGTAATCAGGTCTTGCGGGTCAGGTACTGGGCCCTTGCAATAGACGGGATTCTTCGGTCCAGAGCGGCACTCGAACTTGAACGTGTTATCGGGGCTTTTTGCGTAGCATTCGTAGCAAATGACTGCCGCTGTCCAAGGGTGTAGCATCCATACACCAATACGAGGTCCCTTCCACTTGCTCTTGCGACGTGGCTCAAGATTCTGGGTGGCTTTGTCAACTGATTCCTGAAGCGGCTCAGAGCGACGCATGTGAGATTGGCCATAGTCTCCGCCGTAGATGGTAACCGTTTTTGTAGAAGGAGGGAGAATAGTGACTGTTTCGAGTGGTCCAGGCGGAGGCATAACCACAGTGACTGTGCTCTGAGGGAAGACGGTTACTGTAGTCAGTGGAGTGCTGAGATAGATCGCGCTAGTAGTTGATACGAGGGGCGTGAGAGTGTTGCTAGTATGAACCCACTCCGAAGACTCGAAGTATGTTGTCTCGGTAACGACGCTGGGCAAGGTCAGAATCAGTTGAGAAGGAGGTGAACAATCGGGAACTTACTAGGGATTTGGGACCGTGATTTGCGGAGGTTGGTAACAATCGAACAGTACTGAGAGGAAAGGTTCTTCATGAACTGGTGAGATGCATTCGGAGATGGCCTGAGGAAGTTCCTCGGTGGACGTTGGGGGGCCTTTGCAACCGTGATGCTGGAATGTACTGATGAAGCAGGGTGGTCCGCCTTCGTTTATGCGTCCGATCCAGGCCTCATGCTTATTGTGGAAGGGCTTGATGCTGTTGGCGCCGACGACGATGTTCTGGCACTTGCCCATCTTGAGATCCATGTTGCCGCGTTGTGTTGCTCCACTGCAGTCATCGCTCGTGAAAGCATATGTGCGTAGTTCGTTCTTCTCCTTAGCCTGAGCTAGCGGAGAGAGGATTGCGAGTAATGCGCCTGTGGCGAGGATGACAGAGTGAGCCATGATCGAAGAGCTTTGTTTTATGTCAGTAGATGCTCTTGCTATGATTGAAGGCTAAACAGGAGAATGCTGGTGAGAGAACATACCAGCAGAGGGGTTCAGCTGGAGCTCAGTTCGACAATGACAGATGCGAATGCTGAGGAGTATGATCTGCAATGCATTAGCACTATGAGAGAGAACGTGTATGTGAATGCCGAGTAAGACAGAGTGACATACTCAACTAGTAGGCTGAGGAAAGGTTTGTTCGCTGGAAGCTGGATCGATGTTTAGAAGACCCTATGAGAGTTCAGCACCAATGGTCTAAGCAGCATCATATGGATGAGGTAGTCCGGGGATATCGGAGTGCGTCCATGGGTAGGTCAAGTGCAATGAATGGACAAGAACAGAGGAACGTACCAATTGAGTAGAAAGGCAGTACTAGTAGACCGACCAACCGATTGTACTGTTGCTTGGCCGAGTGGTGTAGTGGGCTGAAGAAGAAGCAGAGAGATCGGAGAGGAAGCGAGCTTATATGAGACCCAGAAGACGCTAACGTCAGTTTCCGGGCTTCGTCACCGAGCTGTGGTTGAAGAAGGCATTCTGCATGGGTCAAGGAAGGCAGCTTGTCGATGTTGTGAGGTCGTTGCGCTCTTCGCCACGGAACAACGAAGCTGGGACGGTTCTGCGCGATCGAGTTGGGCAGGGAGTTAGCCTGGAGGGTGGTCGCACCCAATGCTGCGGCAAGAACATATCAAGATGCAAATAAGTCAAGGAAGGACCACTGAAACGCTGTAGTAGCGACATATCTGGTAATAACCGTTCGCTTTTCCGGTGGTCTTCGGCTGTTCTTACGTCCAGTCTCGAAATGTCCTTAAGACACCAAAGTGACCCCTGGCATAGACAGCTATGTAATGAAGGCCATGTCAGATACGTTACGAGTAGTCTCGTGCTGCAGTGTTGTGACGTTAACATGGAAGCAAGAAAGATGGCACGGGACCGCAGCTGGCAGAATGGGAAGGTGGTGTGAGAATCCACTTAGACAAGACAACCTTGTCCTCAAACGCGGGAAAGAGCTGAGCAGGTGTGCTTCGCCAAATCTCTAGATGTGGGTGAGCGTGTTGAAGCCAAGTAATGGCAGGGTGTAGATGCATACCAGAAGTTAGGAACATGTCCTAGTCCATTGATATAGGTGGATTCACAGCGAGAAGAAACGAGGCACAGCTCATGGAATGATGATACTTGCCGGTATACGCTCTTAACCCACAGCGCGGACGATCTACGCAGTCCCACCCCTCATGTACGTATCCAACGCCTGAACGCCTCATCTCCGTCCGAATCCTGTCTTATCCTGACGACAACCGGAGTGAAAGCCTCTACCACTCCCCCCACTCATCATCCTTCTTCGCACCTCCACCCATCCCACCTCCAGCACCGCCCTTCTTCATTGCGCTTGTACCGATGCCGCTGGGCTTCTTCGGTGCCATTCCTCCGCCTGTCTTCGTTTCACCCGCGCTAGCAAACTCATCCCAGAAGTCCTGCTTATCCTTCGCCGGGCCCTTGGGGGCCGCACCGAAGCTCTCCCAGAAGTCTTTGCGCTCGGGTTCGCGTCGGCCAGACGTAGCAGGGGAATGTGTTGAGGAATCGCCTTCGACGAATCGCGTGAACTGCGTGTTTGCGTTTGCGACGCCTGATTGAAGGGTCTGGCCTAGGGTGCCAGCAGTTGTGCGAGCCTGAGATGCGAGGTCTGCCTCGGCGAGCTGGAGAGTTGTTAGTCACCTTAGTCGTATTCGCTTTCGACGATATTGTTAGGCATACCTTTGCCATACCGGGCTTCACGTAGCCTTCATAACCCGTTTTGCCCACCTTGCTCACGCTTGCGCCTAACCATCCGAAGCCCTTGGTAAGTGCGGCAAGAGGGTCTTTCTGGAAGTCGTCAAGTGCAGGTGGCGCACCCGGCTCGTCGTCCTTCTTCCAGGAATCTGGCTCGCTACCAAAGCCACCGTATTTGCCTCCCTGGTTTGGCGCAACGCCATCTGGTCTGTTGGCGTTCTCCTGTCCCATCTTGGCGAAGTAGGCTTCGTTCTTGACTTTCTGTGACGACATGGCATTGGTGCCGAGCGCAGGCGAGCCAGACCGTTGGAAACCTGGGTCGTTGCTTCGTGTCTTTCCCAGAGGTGTTTGGCTTCTACTGCCTGCCGCACTGGCTCGTCCGCTCAATGGCGCTCCCGTACCCGCTGCAGATGCATTGTCCTTCTTGGGTAACCGCTTGGGCAAATTGCTCTTGTCGAACTCCCTATCCTCAACTTTACAGCTGAGCCTCTCTTTCCACTCGTCGCCCGCCTCTGAATCGTATCGCTCTGATATGGAAGAGGCCTCGAATGTCCGTCCGTCTTTCGTATTCGATGGGTGCGTATTGAAGAAGTCTTGGAATGGCTTGTTGCCGCCGGCGGCCATGCGCACGAGTTCTGAGCCCTTGAAGGCATCCATGGTGATGCTGCGGATGAAAGAGATGTGGACACCAAGACCACGGTGTACACCAGAACAGGAGAGACACATGAAGATACCAAGTTTGGGCGAAGCCTAATGCGTCTCATCTTAGTAGGTGTAGTCGGTGATCGCGTGCGTAGGTGGAGGAAGGGCGGTTGCATACCCATTGCGGACTCGGCGCATTGCAGTCGACGCACTTGTTGTTGTCGTTGGTCTTTTGTATCTCCAGCAGCTGTGTGTGCAATTGGTTAGCATTTGTCAACATGGCATATACAATCCATCATCTGCGCTGCCTTCTCTCCGCAATTGACCCCTAGGACCCCACTCCTTACGATAGTAGAACGTGCAACGTACCTTGCTGCGCGTCTCCGGATCCACCTCCCACATTTTACTCATGATGGGCAACCGAGAAACTGCGCGATCGTGGAACAATAAGAGGTGGTATTTGGTCACAAGTTGGGGGGGAAGTGTTTGGGGTCGATGTTGCGGTCGAGATTCAGGGTACGTGGGCCCAAGTGGGAACGCGTGGCGCGTGTGTGCAGTTGAGCCTCAACTCGCATCAACAGGGATGCTGCGTGCTCTGCGTACTACCCACGTTTACTTAATCGCGAATTTTGCTACTGCATATGCTGGCGCATAACCTTATTCCACCTTATCGCTTTGTAACGCGATGAGAATACTATAATTGCTCGAGAGAATGGAATTAGTTGGTTCAAGTATTCTCAAACTACCTAGATAGACTACTACGAAGCGTATCTTTATTAAAGTGTAAGTACACTATTGTCTTCTGTATACCTAATTTGTAAGGAACAAGCGTCTTCGGATCCTCGCAAAGGAACGTGAGCAGCTCGTGTGTACACAGAACCACATATTCATGAGCACGCAAGAAACACCTCAGCTACCTAGATTGCTACTGAATTTTAGAATACGATTTTTCCCTACATAGCGTCCAATGGCCATAGATCGGCATCGTTCCGGTGTGCGAGATTCTGTGAAAGAGCCAGAAGCCAGTCATCTTCGTCTCCATCAAGCGGATCCACAAGTTCCACCCAAACCCAATCTGGTTCAATCCAAGTCGTGGTAGCAACACGGTTCCTGTCATACCACGCCTCACTAGACCCATCCGCATTGTGTATCGACTCCAGCTCGACACCAGCTTTTGCTAGTCCATTCTGCAAAGCTGCAAAGATTTTCTGGCACGGGAAGGTGCCGAGTTGTGGATGCCAATCGAAGAACGTTATCTTTTCTAGGTTGGAGAATATAGTATTGATCGTAGGGGCCATATTGATCAAGACTTCCAGCAAAGATTCGGGCACGTTATGACCATCCTCCATTGCTGAGATGCGGAGATGTTTAATATGCCTGGGTAGATTCTTGAAACGTCCTGGTAACACGTCGGCGAGCTGTCCCCATTCATCCTTCACTACCCCATAGAAGACCTGCCCGCACATCTGGAGCCATTCCAAACGATTCAAGACCCTCAATTCTTCAAAAGTGTTTGGATCGTTGTCTACGCGGAAATCGTTGAGATCTAGTGATGCGAGTGATTCATGGTGATTTGCGATTGCGCGTAGAAGCGTTCGTACGTTCACATCATCTGGCCCCATACCATGCCCATGGAAAGCAAGTTTGAACTTCTTCAGACCCTGGAATGATTCTAGCGCTCGAGCGAGATCTAGTGTGTCGCCGCCAACATTAGGCAGTATCAAGTTCTCGAGACTGGAGCCAACTTTCTCTAGTCGGTTCCAGAACGTCTTGTCAGCTTCCCATTCGGGGCGTGGACCTATCCCATCTCTGTCGCGATGTATACCTACATGGCCCAAGATGAGAGTTTTCAAGGACGGCAACAAGAACAACGAAAGGATGTTTCCAACACGTATCTGCTCAAGAACAATAGATGCCTCCTGCAAATTGGAGAACATCTGAGGTTCTAGTGCTGACTTGAACCACACGGCCTTGCGCGGCCAGAGGCTAGGTACAATCTCGACCTTTTTCACTCTCGGAGTGAACAACATGAATATGTTGAATTGATCCTCTCTCCCGTGATCCGCGAGCCACGTATTCAGCTTCCTTATCCTACTTTCCCCCGCAACTTCCCTTCGTCCTACTTTGTCAAACCCTACTCTCTCGGTGATATGTCGAAGTTCAGCAGATGTAAGTTGTTTGGGAAACTTAAATGTATGGCCCTCGTACTCCCATTCAACCTGCTGGACGCACCGTTCAAGGTCTGGAGAGGACGCAAGCGTACGGATGAATAGCCCTGGAATAGCATCTCTAGTCGAGTACGAGCTATACAAGATTTCTTTGGCAACCCGATGCAGACGTCTGTTGGTGAAACTGATCGTCCAAACGTCGTCGACGTCATCGAGAAAGACCTGGTTGATTATCTCGAATAGGAGCTCATCTGGAAGGGTGTCTATATTGCATTCGGATACTGCAGCGTTGGGGAGGTCTCCATTAACCAGCTGCTCCTGTTGGCTTTTGGGTAGATGCCAATCAATGGGAGATACTTCAGACATGATGAACTCGATTCTTGAGTTGTCAAGTTGAGCAAGCAAAATGCGACCGACCGTAACATTTCAAAGTTGTACCACAATGTTAGCGTCTTGGCAGCCTGTATGGATTCCTTTAAACATCATCTCCATGACTGTTGGTGCAAACTACAACTTTATACAAGATCTCTGCGGCTTTTCAATTTCTTTACCATAGATAGCGCAGCGTAAAGCCTCCATCACACTGCGGCCAATGAACAAACATGGTGAATATACACAACGTACAAGATTGCAGAATGTCAGGTAATTTTTCAATTTAAGTATCGAGTGGTGATGCAGCTACGTTGCATTTACGCAAGCATAGCTGTCCCGTCTCTTTCAACTATCTACCAGCAAACCCTATTGCGACCCCACCTTCCCTAACGCCATTATGTGTGGCATGGTGTGTCCCATCTGCCGTTGCCGTGAGGCCCTCTCGTATCCTCTTCCCCACCCCTAAATAAGTATATACATTGCCGCATAACAGAGATCCAGCGAGAAAGGAAAGTATTGTACACAGGTGATGGTGCCATTAATGATGTGATCGAACCGGAGAGTCCCGGGCAGAGATATAACGCAGGACCCTCAAAACAGTGATGGAACAAACTAGACGGCCGTGCGTCGATGCTATGTATTACGCCTGGTTGTTTTGGATATGGTATGGGTGTAGGTTCGTCAGTCGTAACGCGCTTATGACATCCAACTTTGCTGTTTGTACGTATGATCTGTGGAGAGATATGTAGGATCTCCAACCTATGATGTGTGTGCACCTTTGATCGAACTGGCATATGGTGGTTTTTGCTATTCGTCCTAATTCGGGTCTGGGTTCCGCACGTTCAATTGTCGTCCATAGTCTCGGCTGTCATCGATGCTTCCTAAACTTTCCCGGCTTGCATTCGCGCCGTGGAAAGTCAAGACAGCCGTTGGGTTAAGTCGCGAGTCGACCAATATCGGTTGACTTAATCGGCGGGTTGAGGGCGTAACAGGAGGGATCGATTCGTCGTCATGACGGCTACGTTGCGAGCCAAAGTTGGTGACAAGTTGAGTTGGCGACTTTTCGCTGCGCCCTCCCAGCAAACCAGCTCTGCTCATGGTGCTCACATTCCGCGAGATGCCTGCTGAGCCACTCTCATGCCCATCCTGTTGTTGGACTTGTTGCCTCCTCTTGCGCCATAGGACAAATATTATGCCACCAGCGATGGCCAACAACGCGATAACACCTCCAGCGACACCACCAGCAATAGCGCCTACGTTGGTAGAACTCTTGTCAGAATTGGAGGACCCTGTGTCAGCAGGAGCTGCTGTTGCTGTGGGGGTTACGACAAGCGTGCGGGTGATGACACGGCCGCTCTCGGTAACGACAGTTGGCATTGTGACGGGTTCCTCTGCCGACGTTGGAGTATCATCGGACTCGGATGATTGGGTAGTCGATGGTTTTGCGCTCTGTGTGACCTGTTAGCTTTGTGCAACAGGCAGGACTGGAAATAAATACAGTAGAAGAAGAAGTAGAAGAAGAAGACGGCGTCGCAGTGACTACAGAGGTAACAATCTCTGGATCAGGTCTCACAGTGACGACCGGTGGCGGAGGCGGGGCCGACTACCACGAAGTCAAACACTGGTCACAGAAGAGAGTACAGATACGAATCAAAGCACACCAAGAGATTTGCAAAAGGACGAAAGAAGGAGTGCACGCAAGATAGGAAGGGAGGTACTAACAGTCTTGGGAGCTTCTTGCGTCGATGAAGGCGCGTCTGCGGAGGATGTGGGCTGTGAGCCTCCGATGGTACCGGAAACCTGACCGTCCATTTCGATGTACATGAACAGGTCCTTGTCCTTGTTGCCGCACTTTTCGTCGGGAAAGCCAGGACAGTCGACCTCGCAGTCGTTCATGTTGGCCGTGTCTCCAGGCGCATAGTTGGAACACCAGCAGTCGGTGTATTGTAGGACGGCGAACGCATATGTGCCTTCCTCTTTGCAGTGGTTGGTGCAGTTGCCGTTGGATTGCCATGGCCAGTTATCTGGTGAGGTTAGATGTGGATCGTGGAGCCACACGGATCGACATGATACTTACAGACTTGATCGTTGCTACCAGTGTTCAGGCTGGAACAGTATGATTGCGTCCAGTCTGCTGCGCCTGCTGGTTTGATGGAGGCCAGCAATATGAAGAAGGCGAAGAAGCCCAGCAGCGTCGAGGCGAATCTGTGCTCCATGTTGTGGGATGTGTGAGGTTGTGGGTGGGGTCGTCGAGTGTGATTGTATAGGCGCGTCCGTTGGCGGAAGACGACAATGTCGTTTGTTCTCGCGAGTGAATGGGCGCGTGTAGCGATTGTTGACCGCGACAAAGACTTGGATTAGCGATTGAACGCCTCCGACGTCGTCAACGAGCGATGCAGTGGGTGAGTGAAGTTTGCGGAGGCCTCGAGGGCGTGCAGGCGGGGTGGATGGGTGGATGTGGTGTGAGGTGGTACCAGCTGGTGGGAATGGGCGGGCTCGGTGCAACGGGTTATTGGTCGTAGGCGGCGATGTCTTCCTGGTATCCCCTCAAGCTATCGTCAGCATCGCTGCCCGTGGATGGATTATCTGACGGGTGTCGCCGGTAGCACAGCTGGTTGTGGAGAGGGAAAAGCTGGACGGAGACGGTGCCGCTGTTGAGGATGGGAGCTGGTGGAGCTGCAGGACTTACCAAACGCTAACTGGCCGGTAGGTCTGTGCTGGTGAATGGAACACTACCTGGCTACTGATCTCTCCCGCTTTGGCCGTTAGTTCAAGAGTAGCCTCTCCGCCTCTTCCGCACTGGCACTAGGCTTGACTCGAACCGCGGTACACCCTGCTCACTGCCAACTCTGGGTTTGCTGAGAGGCGCCCTGGATGCTCGGCCGTGGCTGTCGACCGTCGTGCTTGAAACTCGACGATGGGGGTCCTGTGACAAAATCTGAAGTTCCTCGGCCTATCTCGTCGTCATGACGTGCTCAACTTTGCACACCTCGCAGATCGTCGCTCCTTGGATCACGATAGCAGCCTCACTGATGCTTCAGGTGGATGCACAAGCCGCTTGTGATTCGCAAACCCGTCCTGGTTTTGTCGCTGTGCTCCCGCAGCCAGTGTCACTAACCCGGACCTTTTTCCGGAAATGACTTCTCGCGATATAATCGATAAAGCGACCGTCCTGGGCAACCCACACTGCTTCTTTCAACGAATGGTTTCTGGTTCAAGCGCCAGTTAAACGAATGTATAGGCGCAATTTCGACAACGAGTGTATGAGAAGAAAAGAGAGAGAACAGAATGGTTGGGTGCACAACGCGGGACTTGCTGCATGTTTTGTCTTTCTGATGTAGTGCTGATCACCTGGCACGGGGCAGACTAGACAGCTCAGTGGCGTTGTATCGCGAGCCTCCCTGTCGCTTACACCCAACTGGAGTGCCAACATCGATATACTTGCAGCAGACAGCAGAAGCAGGTGTCCGCGCCTTGTACCTGTTCCTGCAGCCCTGTCCATTGGACCCTCTGCTATGGTCGGGGATGCGAGAAGGGTCATCCCCTTCTTCGTATCTTCGCACCCGCATCCTTTGCACAACACTCTAAGATGAATGAAAGCCTTATCTGCACGACCTTCTCAAACCATGTTGAGGCTTCCCGTTCCATGAATTGCGCAAGGTGCTTGGGTGCTTGGGCGCATGACAAAAAGCGCCGGCACGCCCAAGCCTCACGCCGCCGTCTAGCAACGGCGTCAAGCCTCATCGCTTCCTCACCACTCAAGCGACGCGCGAAGGCCACGGCGACGCGCCCATCGATCAATCGAAACGTGTCAGTCAACGGCACACCGACGACCCGGCAACCAGTCTTAATGCACACAACACACACTTTCTCATCAACATGAGAAGTCGCTTACCTCGGAAGCGCAGTTGTCCTGTCTTCACTCATTTCTCTAAATGTCCGCACACTTCAGCCTGAATCCCTCCGAGAATCACCCAACACCACAGTAACCACACAAACACGCGCAACTACCAACTAGCCAAACACCCACGGCACTACCCACAGAGCGAACTTGCCGGCCAAGCACCCGCAAGCCACCGCGCGACCACGCGTCTTAGCCCACCCTATCCCCAAAACACGGCAACCTGACGGCGCCAATCCCATTTCAATTTCGCTAACGGCACCGCGCAGGCCTTTGTCTCCTGAAAAAGGGCTATGACGCATGCATGGTAAGCCACCACCAAGGTCAGCCCGAAAGGAGCACCCCTGGGTATCGATAGTGCGATCGACAGGGGAGCAGGGAAGCCGTTGCTGTGTCGTATTATTAAAACTGGAGCTTCTTTTGGCATGTGCGTAAACTCAAGGGGCGAAATGAAGATGTTCAATAGTTCAAACCTGGTGAAGCAACACTTTCGTCATATCACGGGAAGAAAGTTGGAAATAAGTGGGTTGGCGACGATGAAGTGATGCGCACGTGGGTAAGGCTGATGTGCTGGCAGCCCGCGGGGAACAAAGGATTTGCGTTGGATTTGTTGATGACAAGATGAGATCCCGCTCAGGGTCGATGATGTGTTGCTTGGATGTTGCCATCGTGTTGGGACACGATGCTTACCAGAGAAGCTGATGCGAGATACGCATATCTGCCATGTCCGTACGGTCTTGTTCGCGCCCAAGGCCGTAAATAGAGGCACATCAGCACGTCTCCCAATACACCGTGAGATTGCAGCACTGGGACCCGGTCGTCCCGCTCATCTATACATTCCTTTTGTCAAGCTTGCACCTCGGTCTGCTTTCGATAGGGTTCGAGCGCAATGACTGGCACAATCGGGGTGTTTTCATTATTCCAAAACGTTGAGGCTCGAACATTGGTGTCATAGCGACCCGAGGTGTGGAATCAGCCGCACCGTGAACTGCAGCTAGGATGTCTTCACACCATCTTCAACCTGGACAAGCATGGCAGGGGCATTATGAAGTCGGCTCGAAGTACATGTCCATCCCCTTGCTTGGACGTGAGAACGGCACAGCACAGTGCTTTGCTGGCATACATTCAATCACAATCACATGATATATCCCACTCATTCCAATTGACTTTAGCATGTAGGGAGATTCTCTTGTCTTCGATTCAGGCCAAGTACATTCCTACACTTTTGACTTACAATTTCGACTTCTTTCCTCCTGCTACACCCGTAACAGCCTCTCCACTGAGTAAGAAGTCTGGATACTCGAAGCCACCGACAACACCAGCCGTGTGCCATGCACCGCCATCAACAACCAGAGTCTCTCCGTTGACAAAGTTACCCGCATCAGAGAACAGATAGACCGTGGCATCAGCAATCTCCTTGACAGTGCCCCAACGACCGATTGGAATGGTCTTGGCAGCCTTACTCCTGGAGTCGGACTTTGATAGTCGCGACATGCCTTCGGTGTCCGCAATGGGTCCGGGGGCGATGATGTTGGATGTAATGCCTCTGGGTCCTTGCTCGATAGCGACGGACATGGCCATGGCGTCTACACCTGCCTTTGCGACCGAGACATGGCTTTGGAGAGGTGTGCCTTGGTAATGCAGAGTTGCGCTCACAAAGATGATGCGTCCGCCTGTTCCGTTGGCGGGCTGTGTAGTGCCATCTGTCCTGTGCTTCGCCGCTGATTCCTTCAGATATGGTAGTGTAGCCTTGACGGTGTTGTAGCTGCCCAGTACGTCGATATCGATGACGCTCTTCATGGCGTTGGGCGAGATCTGATCAATGGATGCGAGGAAGTTTCCTGCTGCGCCTGCGATGACGAAGTCGATGCTGCCGAGTTCTTTGGCGCAACGCTGTGCGGCTTGTTCGAGGAGTTCTGGCTTCCTGACGTCGACTGCGCCGATGCCGATTACTTTCGCGCCTGAACGTGCAGTTGCGATGTCTTTGGCCATATTCTCCGTCTTCTCTACGTTACGGCCGATGATGCACGCGTCTGCTCCTAGGGCGACCATGGCCCGGACTTGAGCGGAGCAGATTGATCCTGCGCCTCCCGTGCAGAAAACGACTTTGTTGTCTAAGGTATTGTTGTTAGCCTTTTATTAAGATGTAGCGCTGTCTGACGCCAGGTATTGGAACCATTCCAACTACCCAAACTCGCTCTCCCTTGTGCATGAAACGTACCGAAGATGCCATCTTTCCAGACATTGCTCACAAACTGGTACTTTTCCATAGGCATTGTGCGCGGTGTTTTCCAGGCAGGTTCCGTGCGGTCGTGCTTGTTTGATTGCGAAAGTGTAGGACTGGGGTTGATGAGTGAGCAAGCGATGACAGAAGTGAGTAATCGCGAAGTGGATAGATGTGAAGCGCGTAGAGTATAAGTAAGTGAGTATGCTCACGTCGAGTGAAAGCTACGGCCGCAAGATGGGGCGGATGATGGTAGGATACGCGGCGGTGCTTTTGGAAGCCGAGGTACGACTGGCAAGATTACTCTCTTAATGCTTGCGATGCGCTCTCGGCGACACATTGCGCGCATCGAGTACATTTTAAGGGTTGAATAGCCGTACAAGAGGCGTAGACAAAGCAAGGAGTGTCTCGGCAATAAGCAGACGTCGGATCGGATGCCTTTCTGTATTGCGGTGCCGTGCAGCACCTTGTTGACATGTGTTGCTCTTCTCCGCATTGCGCGAGTGGTAGGGGAAGCATGGGCCACGATGATTTCTCCGAAGGATGGAATACCTGCTCCGGATGAATTCCGCACCATCTCCGCAATCTACCAAGTCGCTGCAGGCACGTCAACGTGCATTGCCAGCAGATAACCCAACCACAAGAGATCCCCCATAGACAGCCCAACATAGCTCTCGCAATCTCCATTGCCATCACCATGGCGGCGCAGACAGTCTCAATATGTAAATTCGTCGGAACAATCACCCTGGGAATCGCAACAGTAAGTTGATTTCCGCCACTTCAGGCTTCGAGCTCCCCGCATGAAGCGCCAGAGCTCTAGCCGGAACACGAACTCCTTGTTCAACAGGAGGAAGTATACCAAAACGCGACGATACTAACACATATATTAGGGCGTCTCAGCAACTGTCTCCACAGTCGCCCTCCCCGCTCTCCTCGCTCTCCCTACCGCCATTGATGCTCGAACATCCCTAAACTACCTCTCCAACAAATCCACGAACCTCTCTTCATACCTCCGCCACATCACAACCTTTACTCTCTTTTCCGCCTATTGTCTATCACCAAGACGGTTCCGCCATCCTTACCTACTCTACACGTCCATCTTCTCATTCGTCTCGGGACCCGGTGTCGACTATGCCGTTAGCTTGACGGCAGGCGGTGACGAGAAGCGTCAAGTAATGGAGTTGGAGGCCCAAGGTGATGAGGTCAATGGTGAGCAGGTCCGGTTGGCGGTCGAGAGGAAGCAGAAGGTTGAGTGGGTCAAGACTGGGCTGGCTGGTGTGGCTTTTGCCATGCAGGTCGTTGGACTGTGGGGTGACGGCGCGTAGATTGACGCATTATTGTGTTCATGCAGCATCATGTCAAGACCGTTGAGCGGATGACTTTGGTGGCTATCGGGAGTAGGATTCTGAGTATATGATATTGATGTTCTTTTCTAGGTCAGGAGTAGGAGATGGAGATTGCTATTGGTATACTGTATGATTTTGTACTCTCCTTTCATGGTTTCTATGCAGGACGTACACAGGTTGTGGTTAGTGAGCGCTATTATATCCCCCTCAAGTCCCCACTTCAGCCAAACCTCTTTGACGTTGTTGCTGCATATACGCGAGACTCTGAACAGTTATGGACTTAATCATCTACCACGCCACGGTCTACAGGAACACCTAACAGACAGGCTTGAGGGATTGCGTGCTGTTGCGGCCATCCATTTTATCTACTTCTATACCCGATCATCACGGCTGGAATTCATTCATAAGGGGAGTCCGATCTGATGTCGTATTCTACAGTACATTCAGATAGATGCTTTCTGAGACAATGTCTAGGGCTTCCCCCGAATAGGCGGCATGGGCGATACGCGCATCAGCCTTACCTTGGGCTTTGCCCTGTCACAGCGATGCGCAAAAGATCTGGAGAGATTAGCCTAATGGGAGATATGATCTCATATGCCACCGTACACAAGGGGAAAACCGAACATGTATAGAGATAACAACCTTTACCTTGCAGCTTACAATAGCTCCTGATAAAAAAAACCTATAAAGATTAATAGTATTGTAGACTTCTAGTTTCCTAATTAATATCTACATAAATCTTAATACACTTTATTGTAGTAGGAAGAAGTAACCTGCTCTAAGAAGATGTTGAGTTTCTCTCTTTGATGCAGTGATGCCATACGCAACTGAATCAGGTTCGCCGCGAATACATTTGTGGCGACCTCTTGGTATTGTGTGTAGTTCGGACAGAATGAGCTTCACGCTATGACTGGCCACGTCTATGCCCACAGAGGTCGAATATTGGGACAGGGTCACCGCCTAGTCCTATGTCTTGGTCTTGTTTCCGAACGAAGACATTTCTTCTAGAAGCATTTACCTTATTTCCTGTTTTCAAAGCCATAGGCGATCTGTTGTCGTCCTAGAATTTGGCCGCTTCCTCTATATCTCGATTGTTCGCACCAAGTTACATTAGGAACCAGAATCTCCGTGGACAAGATGATTTTTAAGATAAGCAAGAACTAGAAAGGTGAGTGTAAATATGTCAGATACCGTCAGCGACTCGATGGAGTGGTGTTAGGATGCTTCGAAATGTCATTGATAGATCTATAAATAACTATATGAGAAAACGCACGATATTGGAAAACTTTTGGACAGGCTGCACTCGATCTCCGCAACAGCTCCTACTTCTGATCCGATGATCAGAAGTGCTGAGTCAGTAGATGATGTCGCCCAGGAATTGACAACCAGTAAACCCGCAAAAGGAATCAATAACACTCGAAGCAGCGCAGAAGTTGCAAAACTCGGTTGAGGCATCCTATAATTCCATACTACCATCGCCAATTCGATCCAGAGGGAGAGAGCCATGATACAGCAAAATACCGCTTTTATCTAAAGAAGCGCAGATGGCGAAGTTCAGAAGACTGGAGTGTATGGGCATTCTCCAGTCGCCACGTGAATTTGAACTTCGGTTGGGTCCTGTAAGGTAGTGCCGGAAAATTCGGATCTCCTCAAGGCGTAAGCTGAACCTCTATATATGAGGCCGCGTTATTGAGATAATCTTACCAAGGTTCCGTCTTGATACGCTTAGGTCGCCGAGCAGCAGGGTCAGGAGTAACCCTGTGCTTTGACTTCGTCATCTTATCGTAGAAGATCGCCAGATTATCGTTGTCATCTCCCTCTGATATCTCTGGATTGTTTGGAGGTATAAGTGCTGTATCATCTTCGGACTTCACCGTTTGTGGTAGCTTGTTCCGTAATTCCATTGCCTTCTCTTCAAAACTGAGAATTTGCTCTGCCAAATCAGCACGGATAGCCTTCCCTTCCTCGGTGATGCGATAGTCTATCGGAGCTTCTGCTCGAAGGCTTGTGCTCAAGTTTTCGAGCATCTTGTCAATGCCAACGAAGTGCTTGTCCAGGAGCGTACGAACTGCATCGTTAAATTCAGCCCGAAAGCGCCGGAAGACCTGGTCAACGAAGTGGGTATCTGGGTTCAGGAATAAGTCTTCCATGCGTTTCTTTTGAAACTTGAGCTTAGGCATCACGTATCGCTTTGCCGGCTTCTTCTTTCCTGATTTTGCTGGTAGGGGCGGCTTTTCCTCAGGTACCGCTTCGAAAACTTCGGTGTAAAGGTCATCGGTCATGTAAGAGATGAGGTTTCTCTCTTGACCAAACTCCATGGTTGCCGACTCAAACATCAACTTCTCAAGCTTGCTAACCTCTTCCATCATCACAATGAGTTTGGCTTGGAGCTTGTTGCGTAATGGAGCCCATCTCTTCCTTGCCTTCTCAATTGTGACCATGTTTGCGCCGGAGTCGTGGATCATGTTCGTGATCTTGTGATGAAGCTGATCTAAGCTCCCACCCAGGGCTGGTTTCATGTTTCTCATACACCCCGTATGCGCGTTGTACCACTTGTTGAAACCAGGTGCAAGTAAGTCTGCCAGTTCCTTGTTCCAGTGGCATCCGTTCTCAAGGCCTTTGGCTTTAGACGCGCCTTTCAACACAATGCCCCGGTACCTAAGAATGCGAGTGAAGGCCGCCGATCTGAGGATGAACCATTCGGTGGTCATCTTTTCTTCAAGCTGCTCTTTGAAATTCGGTATGTCCTTTTCGATTCTTTGAATGCTCTCGTCAAAACATCCTTGAAACCCTTTTTTCGCTTCTGAGAGAAGCCGGGTCATGTATCCCCTGCGAACCGCGTCGATATCATCAGCTATGGTCCGGAAATCTCCATCACGCTCTCGTTCTGAAACCGTTCTCTTTACTTTCTCGATGAATGCTGGAATCGTTGTGTTGATGTGGCGTTCATAATCTCTCAAGTTCTGTTGCGCTGGTAAAGAAAAGAGATATTCGCGAATGGCGGGAATACCAGTCATATCAGGAGATAGCGATGGCTGATTCGAAAACGCCAGTTTAGGTTTACGTATCCAGTCCATGTACTCAGAGGCAGAGGTGTGAAATATCTGCGGCATGTCCTTGGTGGTTCTGCCCTTGAGCTTCGCCGTGAGCTCTGCGTTGATGATATCTGCACGTTGCAGTATCTTTTTCTGCTTTCGGATACGTTCCAGATAAATCCGATATTGGCCCAAAGTCCTGCGCTCCTTCGAATTGACATCCTCGTCTTCGTCATCATCGTCCAGGCCAGCCTCTTGCTCTTCAACTTCCTGCAGCAACTGGTTGATGATGTCGAATTCGCCGCCTGCGCATTGAGACAACTGGTTCTTGGAAAGAGACTAAAAGAGATCAGTAAAGACACAACCCTTAGAAAGTTTGCGGCAGCCTACATCGACCTTTGTAGCGACAACTTTGACTTTTGAAGGTCCATGATGAGCGACAGCTGCACGTGTACTGTTGATGACTTTGTCGTCGGAGGCGATACGTATGGTATCTGCGAGGATGATTTCAACATCAACAGTGTCTTTGATCTTCTCCGCATGCCGGACTCTAGAAAGATTGATGTCACCCCAGCCTGACGAATGGTTAGCTGAAACTTCGGAGATAGCTCTCCGGTGAGTGAGATAGCATACCTGGGAGATCGACGATCTCTATCCCTCCTTGGAGTAGTTCATGATGGAATCTGATTGCGATGTGGTCCACGAGTGGCCATAAACATCTCTGACCTTTGACGCTAGTTAAGAATGGTCGTAATTTTTCCAACAGTTCCTTCTGAGTATCTGCCATCTTAGTCGCGATACCCTGAGAGTCAACTTGCTCTTTCTTTAGGGCTTCGTCACATTTGAGCTGACAGAGGTTGATGAACTCTCCTGATCTGTAATCAGGTACATTCCAATTCTCAAGAAATTCGTCGTACGACCCGAACAATGTTGTGAAGATATCTTCTGCGGTGTCGTTCAGACTGCGGTCCATTTCATCCTGTCCAACAGTCTTCGTACGTGGGACGTCCTCATCATCATCATCGTCGTCGACGTTGTGGTATACGTAGTACGACCGAGCGTGCTCTTTGAGTAATGCTTCTCGTTCTTCTCTAGTGAAGAACTTGATCTCTGCAAAGAACTGATCTTGACCAGTTGCGCTCTTAGGGTACTGAACGTAACGCGTTATCGAACTGGTACAAGCAGCCCCCTCCGCACCGGTGAGCGAAAGACCGTCACAGTCGAATAGAGCATTGATCGTAAGACTCTTTCCTGCACCTTGGGCTCCAATCAAAGCAACTTTGATTGCAGGGCTCAGCACGACGTGGGAGAGGTCGGTAGTCGTACGTAATAAATGCTGAAGCTCTTTGTCATTGTCTGGAGAGCCTTTCAATTGTTGAGTGACGAGTCGCGCAAGTTCTTTCATCAACTCATCGACGCTGGCTCTATCGAGTCTCCACCAGGGATCATCCGGCTTCTTCTCTTGCTTGGCGTCATATCGTGGTAGAGTCCGTTGCCCTTGAAGATATGCCGGAAACTCTTTGAGGGTGAGTATTGGGTCCATTATTATGTTCTCCAAGTGGTATAGAGAGAGAATTAACGTGTATAGCGTTGTTCAAGTTGAGGCTCGCTCAATGCATCGGTAGATCGGTATATGGTAGCCAAGAAGTTGCAATGGAGTGGAGAAGTTGATGGAGAGAAAACGAGTTAGGAGGAGCAGGTGAGGGGTTACTTATATAGCCATCCAAGTCATAGCGGGAAGCCACGTGGGGGCTGTTGTAAATAGAGTGAGAGAGTCTTAAGATCTGTAGGATGAGGGACACATCTATGTTTATTGCGGCTACCCCGCAGCAGGTGAGAGGAAACCATGGTGGTAAAATCCAATATGTAGCAGTATATCGAAAACGAATGTTCTTGCGGGAAAGGTGAGTGATGAGGTTATTATATGAATCAATCGTGTCAATTGCTTCGCGAGTAGTCCAGCTCGTCAGCTGTAATCAATTCCTTAATGAGCTTAGTATGACCAAACAGTGACTATCGATATAGACGAAACCAAGTTCTACTTTGATGAGCAAAGTAAAGGTACAGCGAGCAAATGCCCTGTAGTCAAACCTGTCCTTCTTGGTCGTCAATACCGCATGTCTTTATATGACCACACGTAGGGGTTTGAAGAAGAGCCTTGGCTAGAGGATGAGGTTGACATTATGTAATGTCAATTATTTGGTCTCCAAGGCTTGCGTCTTGTACATGAAGGGTTTTAGTTTTCCTGTACGGCATTACACGTGCTAGGACTGGTCGCAGGTGGGGTCAGGCCGGTTACCCGATTCCCAGATATGTGTGGTAGCTGATATAATGTGGCGCTTAAGAAGACGATATTGATACTGAAGGTTGAGCACAGCATTTGATGATATCTGACGAGATTTGAAAAATTCCAGAACAGAGCTGCAGGGCCTCACATGGTAAAAATGCTCAGTCCTTGCAGCGCCTTTTGACGTAATGTTCTCTGTCCCAACTCAAAAGAAGGGGGATGAAGAAACGCTGGAGAACAGATCATCCCATTCGACCAGGTCGAGATGTATTGCGTCGTTGATCTGCGAAGAATATGACTGCTGTTCTCGCAAAACATCCGACGGTAAACCCGAGAGAGTCCCTGCAGTAGCGTGAATGTCTGTCGCACTTAAGTTGTGCTCTGCTGGGTGTTGAGCATCTGCATATCTCCCTATGATCTGCATGAGTGACTCGTATAGTTTCGCTGCTGCCAGTGAATCTTCCCTTGCATCTGCTATCATCTGTAGGCCTTCCACTAGGTCACCTGCTTGAAGCATGGCTGGTATTTCACTTGGCTTGTTGAGACAAACATCCATAAGTAGAGTGATAGTGGCAACGAAGATACTGTACAGACCGGCTGGAGGTCGCTGGGGACGGCGCGCGAAGGGATTTTGAGAACGTAGAAGTGTTGTCTCGATATGAAGTAACTGGCGCGCTGATTGGAGACATGCGGCATGAGAGGACGTGTACGTTGGATCCATGTTGGACGTGCACGTGAGAGTTGCTAGATGAAGTTTGCAGCGTTGGGTGTGGAGAAGAGTGTTGAGGAAATAGGCTTGAACGAACGAGTGGTTCAAGTTTGTACAGCCGATGGTGTCCTGGTAACTGTTCAGCAGCAAAAATGCAGGAACTTCGTTCATCATTTCGACGAGCTGGCCATCCATTGTCATAATGTTAGCGCGGCGATTGGATGGGTCGGAGTTGATTTGATCGACAATGCTACGTGAGATTTCTGATAGACGGATGCGCTGAAGGAAGTACGACATATCTGTCTGTTGTGATAATGGCCGAGATTGCTGGGCCTCGTCGGTAGATAAGTCAACGTCGTTGATGTTCAGCGGCTTGTTCACGTTCATATGCAGCGGGTTAGACTGGTATACGTTTTCGCCAGACCCACCATATCTTGCTGCAAGTAACCTGTAAAATTTTAGCATTCTGTAAACGCGTGACTTTTGACTATATCCAAATAAACATACCAATCTGTAGAAGTCAGATACCACCAAACACGACGACCAATCTCAGCTTTGAGCGTTCCTGCCGTAGTAATATTGGATTCATGGTCGGTTCGATGTAGACCCAGTTCACGGCCAAGTAATAAACCGGTCGATATCAAGCACCGATATCGTAACGAAACACCCTCCATGTTGCAGATAACGTATGACAAGATGGCGATGCCTTGTATGGTCTCTAACACTAGCGCATTGCCTTCTTGGCTAGCATTTAGTGCTGTATATGTGGCTTTGATCCAAACGGATGTTTGAGAACGGGCTTGCGACGAAGATAGAAACAAGGGGAGCTCGCTTTCCAAGTTCTTCGGCGCGGTCCAAACATGCGTCGTATGAGCGATGATACCAAGCAGAAGAACAACCTTGCCAGACTGAACAAATTCACGACTCTCAATCTGGTCGTACACTTCGTTAAATGTAGCTGTTAGCGAGGGATAATGCGTGACGTGCTGAATGTAGTTGAGCTCTGTGACGTAGTAATCGAGCAGCTTCATGACCTCTTCCCGTAGTGGCAGCCATATACACGGCACTAGCCTTCCATTTTGTTTCGTGAAAGCGGGTGCTTGTGGTATCGATCGAAGTTTTCCAATTCTGAAGTCCAACTCATCTGTAAAGAAGGATTCGAGAGAGCTTTGCCCCATTGAGACAGACTCGAGATGGTCGACGATGTTTTTTACCCTGTGGATCTCGGACTGTCCGATCGTTTTGGGGTATTCTTCCGCAAGGTTGAGACTGGACTGTGACAAGAAGGTCTCGCTGTCACTGTGGCCTAGATGTTGGACTGGGACAGTGCTCCTCACGATATGCTTCTCTAACTCATTCGCACGAGTTTGAAGCACACGTATCTCATGAAGAAGTTCAGATTCCTCTGGTACAGGCGAATATGTCTTCACAGTCCGCTCTAATGGCTGATATCTGGACATAACCCCGACTGAAGCTGGTGTATGAGGGTCTTGGGTGTTGAGCGCCGCGGGAGTAGGATCGAACGTGCATACCTTGCCTCTAGACCTGCAACTTGTGCATGGTAGTGGCCGATCGCAACGAAGCTTGCGCGAACGGCAGAAGTTACATGAGTATTGTCCCTTGCGACTGAATTGCTCTCGTTTGCCAGAAGCCGGCATAGTAATCCGACAGATGGATGTGATCGATAGAGAACCACGATATAATTGCAACAATAGAAGGATTGACAGGCTTCTCCAGTAGATGGTTATGAATTACTTGGGTCTTTAGGAACTTGTCTTGAGGGACATGCCAAGATTCCGCGGGTATTCCGCGGAGAGCGAAGCGACGCTGACTGCATACACGTACCACGCTACCATGGTTAAGGACTCAATGAGCGTATCTCGTGATTCACTTGAAAAGGAGGCTTGGTTCACTTGGCTTCTTTTGTGGCCCATGTGTCATGTGAATGCTCCTGGCTACGAGGTTGGCGCTGTCGAGACCTAGGACGCACGGCAGTCTGCAGTAAGCTCGGCTTCATCCAGAATAGGAGAGTAAGACGATGGTTTCAGTTACCAGAAAGCATCCGGATAAGACGACGTTGGATGCGAGACGCTAAGATGAAAGGGCAATGGTGTTGAAAGAGTCGTAGGCAAGCGTTGAACCTGGAGACTTGTAATTACGCTAGTCATGCTCGCCAAGGTGCGGTCGTCGCTTGACTCGCAATGGAAATAATTCCATTCTTCACTTCAACCATATCTGCTTCTCCATCAACGCCAATGTACCCGATGTCATTCATCCCCCGCCATGCCTTCCCGCAAATCCCGTCACTGCCCAGGTCCTACTTCCTGGGCCACCACAAGTCCGGCCTGCAGAAGATGAAATCGCTTCTGTCCTCGATCGACCTCGTAATCGAATGCCGCGACTACCGTGTGCCGCTTACCTCGCGCAACCCCTTGTTCGAAGATGCACTCGAAGGAAAAGAACGAGTGGTAGTCTATACGAAGAGAGATCTGGGTGGTGGGTCACGAGACAATCGAAATGAGGATGTCATCGCGAAATGGCATCATCCTACAACGACCATGTTTGTGAGGAACGGCAAAGATGCAGAGGGGGAGACCAGTGGTCGGAAGAGTGTCATCAAGCTTTTGGATATCCTGAGGGAGCATGCGCGGAAGAGGTGGAAATTGGTCGGACACCGCGTCATGGTAGTGGGGATGCCCAACGTGGGTAAGTCCACGCTGCTCAATGCATTGCGCGCGCAAGGAATCGGCAAAGGCAAGGTTGCAGCTACCGGCGCTCAGCCTGGCGTAACGCGTAAAGTCAGTAGCAGCGGTGTGAAGATCATACCGAGCGAAGACGACATGGAAGCAGCGGACGGTGGGGCGAAGAAGAAGCTTCAAGGTGTTGGAGGAGGTGTATATCTTCTTGATACACCCGGTGTCTTCATCCCATACGTTCCCAACGCGGAAGCTATGATGAAGTTGGCACTTTGCGGCTCCGTGAAAGATACAATCATTGCACCAGTCATGCTTGCAGATTACCTACTCTACCACCTCAACCTCCAATCGCCTACGCTCTATTCTGAATACGCACCGCCTACCAACGATATCATCCAGCTTCTGTCTGAAATCGCGAAGAAGACTGGTAGGCTGGGTAAGGGTGGTGTCATTGACACAGAAGCGACATCGCTGTGGATGATACAGAAGTGGAGGAATGGCATGATGGGACGCTTCCTGTTGGACGAGATCGATGAGAAGAGTCTGGAAAAGGCTAAGATTGACGAGGAGGGTCTTACACCTAGCCTGAACCAGGCTAGAAAGGCAGAGAGGGAGAGGCGTAGGGAGAGAAACAAGGCGAGAGGGGAGAAGTGAGGTTACCAAAGCCATACACTGATTAGACATATATTGCACACTGCTTGTAGCACATAGCATATATATTAGGATTCCAAAACAAAACACTTGCAACCTACATGTTCGAAGTGAAAATCGCCCTGTTCTCACTACACAATCGTCCGCGCCGCGTTCAGAACATAAAGCGGTCAACCTGCTGCAGTCACTTCATCACGCGTATTGAGGTCAATCCCTCCTTCCAATTCAGCACCTTGACATGCTCATGTAGAATTGCTTTCTTTCATCACTGATGGTCTTCGAAGAACGCATAAACACAATCTTTGTCTCCTATTGTTTCTCGATATAGTCAAGACCTCGAAATATGTCCAAGCCGTTGAGTTCTATGAGAGTCTCGATGTGTGTCGAAGAAGTCAAGGACGTAGGCTGGTCTTTGATCAACTGAACCAATTACCTAGAAAAACTTGATACCCCACAGGACTAGGCCCAGAAAGCTGATCTTGCACGGTAGGCGTCATGGAACATGTTGTGACTATGATCGTTATTGTGATGTTGGGTGTACGCTTACAAGACGAATAACCTGTAACGTTTTCTCTCGCACCGAAGGGAGCTCCAGGACGCCAGTGTAGTGGTTTGCAATGTCCCCAGTCATACACATGACTGCAGCCCGGGCATGCTCGATGGAAGGATGACAGACCTTTGTTCTTCAATAGCGAAACGACAAAGGGCTGAGACTGACTGTGCAGTTCTGATGAGGGCTGAGGTGATGAAGTTCAATGCGATAGAGTGTATTCAGGTGGTGGTACGGTGTCTGCCATACGTGGCGCCATGTGTCTTGAGTCAAGCTCGTATGCTGGAGCATCTACCCCTAATTCCGTTGGTAACCGGGTTGTATCTACCTCGTAACGTTGCGCCATGGGATCTAGCTCCTGGTACTCTGGCTCAGGACCTGCTTCAAAAGGGTCGATGGCTTGATTAGGCGTCTTCTTCCAGCTTGTGACGACTTGTACAGGCTGGGTGCAAGCGATGCCTGTCCACTCACGATCCGCACATCTTCCTGAAATTTCAATCTGCAGCTCGTATTCTAAGTTTATGCCATAGCTCGTGAAGCTTGGGGTACTTTCTTTTGGGATCTCGATATTTGCTACGTCCAGAAGATTGAGTCCATCGTATAGCGGAAGTTCATGTTCTTTCTCGAATTTCTCGTCGCAGAGGACGATGCTCTTCTTGTCTGAGGTATTGACCGCCCTGGTGGCGTGTCGCCCGAACTGTTCACCAGGCACGAATATGTTTGTCATCGCGTTCAGCTGAACTTTCAAGCGCCTGAGAAATAGATCGGGAGGGTAGGGAAGCGATTCTGAACGTTTCAGATGCTGCACTGTCACAATGACTGGAACCATAAAACCAGTGACCAGAACGCTAGCAGGAGTGGCGAATAGATTGAATTGAGCGTAGGGTATCTCCGCAAAGCTTTGAAGACCGAAGAGCATTTCATTGTCGACAAGTTTGTCCTTGAACCTTCCGAGTTTGCTGTGTTTTTCGCTGTAATTAGGGTACAGTTTGCGTGAACGGATCAACTTTTGGCGGCTACAGTGCTTGGGCAATTTGTTCCCAAAGTTTAGATCCGGTTGGAGGAGCGCCGGATGAAAGTCTGGGGCTGGTGGCATGTACTTGATTTCTTGTCGAATCTTCAAAGGCTCTCTTTTCGGTACATCGGACTCCATGTAAGCTTCCAAGTGGTACAAGACTTGTGGACTTGTGGGGGTGGGGCCGCTAAGACTTGGTGGCAGTGGGAATCCTGGGGAATGCTGGAATCGGGGGTGGTTGTAAGAATCCGTTGGATGCACCCAGAGTCTCTCGGCTGGCGGATGTAGAGTCGCATGCTGCGGAACGTCGAAGGAAAAAGGCAGTTCAACTTTGGTGGGGTCTGTCGCGTTTCTGGTGAGACGCTGGAAGTCATCGCCTGTGGATGTGTAGAGGTATTGGGAACTTCGGCAAAGGTCGACTCGGAAACTCCTGGCGTTGTCATCCACAAGTACAGAGAAGCCCTTTAAGCTTATGCTTATGCGATGAGGTCGCGATGCGGGCTCCACGAGTAGCCTGCCTTGGACGCGATCTCCACTTGTGTAGAAGACTGGCGGATTGAGCACATCGATGTACACGGAGTTGTCCCGGCGATTAGCTCGAGAGCCAGTCGCAGAGGCCGACAATGCCATGATCAGGTGACGTTGAACTCGGTAATGGGAGCCTGGAGATGATCAATCTGGAAGAAAGGCTTGCATTGTATATAAGGCTGCGAAAGGGATCATGCATCGACGGCGACATCGCTTCGCTGCCGCCCCTTCTCCTCGGAACTAGCCATACCAAGCTTCTGGGGTCACATGCAGTAGCCGAAGTTCCAGCTTGGTATACGGGGTTGATGGTACTGGACGCCCTGAAGGCCTAAAGACGTTTGGATCAAGGCTGGTAGCTCCGCCACAATGATTTTGAAGGATGCGGGAAAACATGTCATTCAAATTTCCGAACATGAGCCCGTCCTGGTGTTGTTGGTGGTTTCCCCCGCTGGGGAGGCGCTTTGTGGTGATGCTCATTGGTGGTGTTGGTGGCCGGGGTCGTGCCGTCATCGATGGAGGGCGCGACTCGCGACTTTTTGATTATCTACTACGGACGCCCGCTCGAACAAACATCCCCAGCAATGTCGTCCACCTACACATGCACAGCCTGCTCCAAGGCCCTATTGAGGTCTTCGTCTTCGCTGCTACAGGTACATAGCCACCACCCATGACCAAAGCGGATATTAATTGTCGTAGCGGACCCATAGAGCATCTCTCCGCCAAGCGCGACGAACAATTTCTACCACTTCGCCTACCTCATACTATGCGTCGCAACATCTTTCGGCCGACGTCAGACCCGAGGCAATCAAGAAGCCGCATCCCGCTGTTGCGTCCGGTGTGACTGGACTCGCTCAGAGGCTGCGCGAAAAGGCACCGTTGATGACCGAAACCTACGTCGCATATGGCGCAACACGAGACCTCATCAAGGAATGCACGAAGCCGGGTGAATACAAAATACCCCAGGCGCTGTTGAAGCGCGGTGAGATACCAGTTGACGAGAATGGTGTGCACCTGGGCGAGGGCGAGGGCTGGTGGTACGACAGTAGGTGCTAGAAATGACGACAGGCAGGCATTCGCTAACAACTTGCACAGCCCTCGGACTTAAGCCGACTTTCTCGAATTGGGCCCAAATCACCTTCATCCACATGTACATGCTGCAAGTCCGTTTCCGCATGTTCCCCCAGTCACATGCGCCTGTGTGGATCCAGCACCTCACCAACCAGGCCTTCTACGCCGCCGAGGACCGTCTTGTGATATGGCACAAGTTCAACGCCAATTCGCTGCGTCAGAAGCATCTAAAGGACATGTTCTCACAATGGCGTGCCGTGCTCCTGTCGTACGATGAGGGTTTGATGAAGGGTGACGCTATGCTTGCCGCGGCTGTCTGGAGAAACCTGCTTGGCGCAAAGGAAGATGTCGACTTCGAGAAGCTAGCGCAAATTGTAGGATACATGAGGAAAGAGCTGAAGAGGCTGGATAACGCTACAGACGATGAAGTGGCGAATGGGACATGGACTTTCAAAGGCAGCCCAGGAGACGAAGCTAACGTTGTCAAAGCGCCAAGCCGTATGATGGCGACTGAGACTGCAAAGGCGTAGTCCACGAATAGAATGTAGGAAAAAGGGCATGTATCAGTATTGTATATATAGTATACGAAAGATATGAAGACCAAGAGCAATGTATTCGCATCACACTCTATACCAAATTTGATCTTGTCATACAAAGTGAACAGGACTGACAGCATGGCTGAAGATTATCCCCAACCACAGTTCACGTATCATTAACGTTCTTGAATGCTCAAGCTTAACGCTTTTTGCAACTCTTCCTCGTCGTCCTCTGTTGCTGTGGCGCGGCCTTTGCCTTTGTTTTGATGATGAGCTTCCAAAAGACTCTGCTTCTTAACATACTCCATTACAATCTCTTCTTCCGTTTTCTCTTGCGCTGTTTTCTCCCCTAGGTGTTGTGCCTGAAACTCGTCCTGCGTAGTACCCGCAAGGTGGCCGTGGTCATATGAAGGAGGTGGTTGGGCACTCGATGACCCATTAGTTATAGGTACCGCCTTCCTTGCTGTTTGTTGTGTCATCCCTCTTGTCCGCTCATTGTTGAGTTCCTCCTGGTTACTTTCGTTACCCATCCGTCCATGCTCCTTCAAACTTTGGGCCATAACCTGCTTCAGCTGTTCCTCATATTCCCAAGCTTCTCTTGCGTGTCGTTGGGCTTCAGCTTCGCTAGACGCCATTGCCTTGAGTAAATCCTGATCTGCTTCATGATCCATATCTCCTTGTCGTTCGGATTCAAGTGGAGATATGCTGTCTTGCGTCGCATTCATACTGGAACGATCTTCCGGATTTCCACGTGACGTTTCTTGGAAGGATCGGCGGACAGTGCCACTGATATCAGCCGCTCCTAGCAATTCGTTGCTATCAGTGGTATGTAACGGGTACTGCGAGTTTCTTGTGGTAAGCATATCGTTTCCGACAGTTTGGACAAGACTATCTGTGGATTGAGCTGAACATGTAGCAGCTACAGAATCCCGGTAGGTCTCACCATCATCCGTCTTTCCTTTCCGCTGTGCATCCAATATGTCTTGTACCATCTCGTCCGCGCTGTGCTTCTTCTTCAAATACTTCTGGATCATCTTCCAGCGGTTGATAACGTCTTCTTTTTCTGCATCGGAGCTCTGTAACCACTCTTGATATCCTTGAGCTGTCCTAGATGTGACAACGTAGGTTTGCACGTTGTTACCAAATAGCTTTTGTACCTCCTTGTGCACTCCCTTCATCATATGACTAGGGATGCCAAAGAGGGCAGCACCTGGTTTGGTAATAAAACCTCCAATGCCTTTGCCAATTCCCTTGAAAAAGCCGCTGGTACCTTCCTTTTGAGCACCTTTCCAGGGTTGGGTAACTAGACCAGTAACGCCGTCATACCAGCCAAACCCAAACTCTCTTCCTACCGCTTTCATGCCTGACTTGAGATCGCTGACCTTTTCTTGAGGGCGTACAGTGTCGTCGCCCCAGAGCTTGGGGGCATTGTGAAAGCCCCTAGTGATACCCACTGACATATTCATAGGCGATTGTATACCCTCCTTGACAATGCGCCCAAAACCTCTACTTGTACGCAGGCCAGTAGGGCGCATCATATCGCGATCTTTGCATACCGACATGGAGCTTGATCCTATACTTGGAGTGCGAGGTGCTGTACTAGGGGGATTGGGAACAGTATGAGCGCGAGTAAGAGGTTTCTGCATAGCTGACGCAGCTGAACTCTCCCCTAAAAGCGATGTCTCGCTTCTCTTTGCGACAGTCTGTACTGATACCTGAGATTGTGATCGGTTGTACTTGAAAGGAGCTTGTACGGCTTTGAACGTCTCCGAAGGGAGATCAGCTACTCCCATAGACATGCTGCCAAATGCCCTACAAGTGGCTGTGAAGAATCCAGATACGGGATCCCAGGGCCCTTCATCTGTGCAGTACTCCTGTGGTCTAAAGAGTTTCAAGTCGTGAAAATCCAGGAGATTTGCGTTTGCTAAAGTGCAGGCAGCAAAAGCGCTCAGCTTGAGTTGCGTGCGTTTGAGGCGCCACGAAGCTACCCGGGATGGTGCAAGTGTGCAGCGCAGTCGGTCAACTTCGAGATACTGATGAAATGACTGAGCACCCATATCGCTGCCTCGCTCCGCTGCAATCTTGCTTGCCAGCTCTTCAGCGCGACTCAGGCTTTCGGCCTTCAAGCAGAAATTGATAGCGTCTGCTAGGTTGTCTGACGTGAGTTGCTTGTATGGGATCGGATCAGGGCCAGCACCAGCTCGTGCAATCATAGCGCCCCAGAAAGGTTGGTCCCCGAAGAAAGGAATGACCAACGTTGGCCGACCTGCGTTAAGTCAATATTTAACCAACATGTTGAACGTAGATGATTGACTTGCCAGCTGCAATACCTGCAGATGTGGAGATACGAAGTCAGTGTATGTATCACATCCAGGTTGTACAGCTACAACTTACCTGCCGCTGTGGTCCCTGCGCCACCATGGTGAACTACACAAGCCACTTGTTTGAAAAGCCAATCATGCGGCACATTACCTAACATGAAGACGTTTTCAGGTACATGAAGCTCGTCTGCACCCATACCTCCCCACCCTTTGGAAAGTAGGACGCGCTGACCACCCGCAATCTTCTTTGCTGCTTCAAAAATGAGTTCTGTCATGGCGTTTGGATCGTCTAGAACGATGCTCCCAAATCCTATGTAGATAGGAGGTGGTCCAGCGTCAAGAAAAGCCTGGAGATCAGAAGCAGGGGTGTAGCCGGAGGCTAGATTGAGGAAATAGAACCCGGAGATGGAAATGTGCGGACCCCAGTCTTTTGGTTTCGAAATCAGTGCTGGAGACCAGCAGTACGTGTGAGGGATTTTGAGACGTTGAAGCATTCCAGGAGCCCAGATCATACTTACGGGATCTAAACCGAGACATTTGGCTCTGAATCGGTTAATGATGTCGCCCAAGCCCTGCCACGTGAGGGCTTCAATCATGACATAACTTATATAATTCGTAAGTTGAGGATCTGCATTGGAAGACTGGATGTTGGTCAAAGGATGAGGGAACGCCTGGGTGGGAGAGTATGGCATAGTGAACATGATATGAAGCGGTATCCCCAATTTCTCTGCGCAATGAACATGTGCAAAGCTCGGCGGATTCGCAATGATACAATCTGCAACAAAGGGGAAAGATCTTGATGCGGCTTCTGGACCAGGGTCGTTCACGGATTGATCTGAAGCGTTGTCGTTGGTGATGCCGTCACCTGTTTCGTAACACGATCGCCAGCAGCCTTGAATGTATTCGGCAACATCTCTTCTTCGCCGACCAACATCTCCGCTTGCTAGACTACGAAAACCAGGCATCAATCCAGGATTCTTGACCATGAATGCCATTAGCTGGGAAGGATCCCCGCCAATACTGAAGAACTCCAGGCCATTCTCTTGGACAAACTCCTTGAAATTTGGGTGAGTCGCTAAACGTACACGATGGCCGTAGGTCTCTTTCAAGACCTTCCCCAGCGCGACGAAGGGTTGCACGTCTCCGCGCGAGCCGACGACCTGAATAACAACGTTCAAGGGCGGGGGTGGAGGAGCCCCTTCCTCGCCTCCTAATGAGGGCGGTATATATGTGGGAGGAGCCGGACTGCTGTCTTGGACACTTTTGAGGTGGTCACGTAAAGCAGGAGTAAAGACCTGGGATAAACGACGGTTGAGCTGATTGATGCGGATATTGACACGACCGTCGTCGGTCACAGATGCGCTGGTGCCTAAACCATCTTTTTCATTCCGAATTTCGCCATAGATGTCGCCGTACGGAGGTGGTGGAACTTCATCATCGCTCACATCGGCAGTGAGGAGGTCGGTCTGCTGTAAAAGAACCTCTTGTCTCGTTGGTCCTGCAGTTTCAGTCTGGCTTGCAGCGGCGGCCGCAGCGTGTGCTTGCTGAAGCATGGAATGCTGCACGACGGACTCTGGAACAAACTGGTCATTCTCTAGTGGAGTTTGTGTGGTCATGGTTTGAACGAGACAAGACAGGCTGCACTTGAGGTTTCGTCCCGAGCAAGCACGACACCAGTACCACCTATATTGTCAAAGAGAGGCTGATGCCGTTGGATACGAATAGCCCCAAGCATCGTATAAGCACACCTGCCTATACTGGCCATCAACGATTCCAAGGTCATCTTAGTGGTGGGCGATGCGCATGAGAAGGATTTACACGCGGTTGCGAAGGCTTAGATGGGTAGACCTTGCGAGGCTAAAACTCGGGTAATCGTCAACCCGTAATGACGTCATTCATAGTAAATGCTTTTCCGAACATGGCAAGACACGATGATATGTGATATGCGCAAGCACGTATGTTTCCAACTGTGCCTGTACATTTAGACCCTTGTAGAGAAGAAAGAGCTGAGCATCTTTCTTTCCAACATTCATTTGCTTCTCCTCGTCAAGTGTTCGTCATTCGATATTGTGTTCATCCAGTATGCAAGATTGCTCAGAACCTTGGGAGACTAACATGTGATGCACAATGTGCGGTATGGTAAGAGACAGGTGGACACAACTGATCACATAGTAGCCACAACAAAGTCCATAAGAGCGGAACTGTTGCATCAAAGCGCTAATGACATGAAGGTTGGTTCACTGGATGGCTAGTGCTATCTCGTCGCTATATCCACTAACGATCCGTCCCACTCAGCATCCGTATACGATTCTGAAGCCCTGCACCGGGAATGCAGGAGGCCCAACATTGGAAAATTCCCAGTAATTCGGCGCAGACGGACTGTCATACATCATGGCCATCTGGAATGACAATGTCTGATTGCATGCTGTCGCATTGATGGCGGCGACGCCGCCGACACTCCTTGTTCTCTCTAGCGCTTGGCTTTGACCATTGACCGTACCGAATAACAAGGCATCTTTCTCTTCTTCATATGTATTCCATGTGGCGATCGCACCAGCTTCTCGTGCGACTTGGTATACGTTGAAGCTTGGGTTTGGACCGGAGATCTTTTGGAGCTCGAAGCGTGGGAGTACGAATTCTAGGCGGCAGGTGTAATTCGATGTGCTGTCGGGTAGGCCCTGAAACTGTACTCGCGTAGCGATCTCACCGGCATCCTTGAGTTGGCGGCGTAGCATGAAGAATTGCTTGGCTTGATGTAGGTGGTCGATATCGTAGTCGGGATAGCGCGCGTTGAGGACAGTGAGATCGGCTGGGTAAACTTCGTGGCATACATATTCGGTCGAGTTAGAGGGAGGAGGGTTTGCGGCAGTGAGTTCGCCTTCACAAAGATGAGCGGTCGAGTTACAGATTGTATGGTTTTCCAGGAACGTTGAATTTGGTTGCGGGTATGGTGCACCGGAAGCATGCTGAGAGAAAAGAGTGGCGAGCGAAAGAATTGCGATGCTAAACATCTTCTTTCTTCGAGCAGTATCCTTTGAGTTGTGTTGATTGGAAGGCTCAATAGAATAATGATAAGTAAATCTAAGACGTCTGGTAGGTAGCTTTGGGATAATGAGGTGGTATTAGGAAGCGTTTGAGAGTTGACAAGGAGCAAAAGGTTCGTCGTCGAAGAACATTGGATGTTACCCAAATATCGATCTTTCCCTCACTGCGTAATATGGGCATGAGCAGATTGCCATGTGGAAAGTGAGATACGCTGCATGCGCTTTCAGTCGGCTGATGACAAGTTCGACTGAGGCCTTGCCGCTGCTCGACCCGGATTTATAATGAACCATACTTGCCATCGACACAGGATGCTTTGGATGATTGCTTTCTTCAGATTAAACTTAAAATGTAAGTGAGAGCAATTCTGGTGTGTAAGACGTGTGCAGACACCACCCTCGGCTATCACAATACAGAGATCTTGCAGACCCATGGAACCTTTTGCCGATGCAATGCCGGTAAGTGGAAAGATATTGGTACGCATGTCGTGTGTAGAGTGATGTGTTCAAGACTAGGTGAGCTGCGCGAACCAGTAATGACGCGGTCCTAGCAAGCCCATACTAGGTAGCGACGTCACTCACGCGTGGGCCAGTCGCGACCTCGGGAGTGAACGTCAATGTCTTCTCACGTCTACTACCTGATTCTAGGACAATCTGAGGCCTAAGAGACCGACTTTAGTAGTACGATGTCCGTCTCTTCCGCTCCCACTTCGATAGCTATCTCCACGTTGTGCGAGCCGTCGTTTACATCCTGCGCTTCTGTAATATGTCCATTCCGATAGATACCATATCGCCCAGCAGGCAAGTTCTTGACAAGGAGCCGGACGCTTGATGTCATCAGTTTTTCCCTCAAAGTATGTGATGGAAATTAAAACTTACCTCTTCGTGGAGCCATCCCAAGTCCGCATAGTAACAACGAAAGCTCCTTTCCCTGAATCCCAGCTACCCCTAAGGAAATCGACGTTGGAAGCCAGGCTGATCTCATCGACGAACGGAAAGCTTGAGAAATGCTCCCTCGACCACGGCTTGTCCCACATCTTTTTCTGGCCGTCTGGAACGTTGAGGCGCGCATAGGCGACGGCACCGTTGCCCGTAAAAGGGTCTACGAACTTCCAGTTCCCATGCTCGTCCGCCTGGCTGTCATTACGTGGGTAGAAGAGGCCACCATTTTCCCACGTTGGGTTGAAGAACGTGTCCGCATGACGCAGGAGACCATCGTTCAGGGCTGGGTCTGCAACCTCAGATACCCACTGAGCAACATAGCCATATACTGGCTGCGCAAATGGCATACCAGGCGCTTCTTCGAGCTCTTTCGCCAAATTCTGTGCCCTTTGTTTGGTGCTCCAAGCTTGCGGATCCACGCCCTCACTTTTGGTGAGCTCGCGAATAATTTTGGCGACCTTCTCGTCGTTCACATTCACTCTTCCATCGGAGGCCTTCGTGAAGAAGCCAAGAGATTGCTCTGGGAAGAGCGAATGGACGGATTCAGAGTTCCAGCCGTTCATAAATGCAGATGTCCTTCTGTACTGTCAACGGTCTGATATCAAATCATGCTATAAGCAACGTCTCGGCTTACCAGGCGGTGATTCCGACACCTCCGGGTACTATACGATCTTGTTTTACCATATACCAATTGATGAAAAACTTGTCATCCTGCAGAAAGCCACCCTCCTTATCCCAAGCCGCAGTATAATTCTTCAGAACCTTGTCAGCCACAGCCGTTCCATCGCGGATGTCATTGTACCGCATCGCGATAATCTAAAAACAGTAAGCAAATCTCCCTCAGTTTTTGAATGGATCAAATCGCACCGGAAATTGGTTGCAGACGATGAAAATGCTGTTCGGCTCACAGCAGACGCCCTTCCAGTTGTGCCGCTCCATCTCGGCAAGAATAGCATCCTGAAGGGAACTGCGGGTGTAGGTAAACTTTTCTGGCCCGAAACCCCAGAATATCGGATCCCAATGGAACGTTAGCGCCTCCGGCTGATTGTACTTGTCGTCGTCGAAGAGCATTGCGTGCAATGAGACCATGAGGAGGAGATGTCCAGAGTACTTGGAGACACTAAAGTTAGACCACGTTAAACCATTTTAGTGTTGTACGCACTCACCATGATATTCTCTTGCTTGTTTGGATCCGCCCAGGGTTTACGCATCTCAACCAAGTCGGGATCCACAAGCTTTCCGCTCTGGCTGGTCAGGTACCAATAACCCCAGACTTCCCTCCGTAGCATCTTGTGGATGAGTTGCTCTAGTAAGTTCTTGAAAATTGATCGTAGAGCAGGTAGTCGATGATAGTGAGCGCTCCCAGCGGCATATGTCATGGTCGCCAATTGATAGCGGTAAGCATCGAGCCACTCTTGACCGGGGTCCTGGGTGCCCATATGGTGCCACTCGCCATCGGGCTGGGAAGCCAGATTATGGAAATGGCGGAGGTGACCGGCCTGTTCATTGGAAAGTTTAGGGAACTCAGACAGAAAGTCTTCTGTAAGTTTTGCAGGAAGGCCGTCTCGTTTGACGTCGACATCTTTATTTCCAACCATGTGGAGCATCTCTTGGGTAGTAGTCATGGTAGCCATGGTCTCGAGACGAAGTTATGTTGATGCTCTGTATCGCAAATGAAGACAGTAAGAAGATCATGAAGTCTTCAGAGGGGCAGACGGATGAATATTGAGCAGACACATGCTGCGGGTAAGCAGTGTAGATTGGATAAAAGTAGGGCGGTTCCGCGTAGAGCCGTCCGTGGGTTCATCGCCGAGGGCACAATAAGCTCGTTTAGTAATATGACTGCCAACGTCGATCTAAGTACGAGTCGTACAACGCGACGTCTCCCAGTGTGGAAATACTCGTGCAACAATACCCTAAAAGAGACATTATGAGCACCTCTCGCTAAAGTTACAGCAGACTCATGCCGTCAGTGACGATCTTAGCGTACACAGAATTTGGCATTACAAGAACGCGTCACAGGTGTATCAGACGAGGTGACATTATGTGAGTTCCTTCAAGAATGTGTTGGCCTTGTGGACATAAGCACCAACAGCGAGGCGTACTTTGAAGGAATCCGCATTGGCGAGAGGGACACCATAAGCACTATCTTGACTTCGTAAAACTCAACACGGTCGTTCCGATGCATGTTGAGGACATATAATACAGTGGGGTATAGAAACATGCACCCGTCGATCGAATCATCAACGGGCGTGAGGGAATGGCGGATACGAATGCCACGCTAAGCCAACGAGGAATATGGATCTATAGCACGCCTGATTCATGCGGCTCGCCTGCCTTCGACGACGGCTAATTGTTTCTGCTCCTCCTCTTCAAGCTCGCCAGCTTCATAGTACAAGTCTTCTTCATCGATGTCTGCGTACCCGAATATACTCCGATAGATACGCTCTCCTAGCCCCTTCTTCTGAGCCATAGCTAGGACCATGACTATGGGAAGGTGCCAGATGCTAGCCCAGAATAAACCTCTTGCTGTTCCCTTCTGTCCCTCGGCTCTCCAGAATTGCCAGGCTTTGAGCGTCATCCAGCCGTTGATAACACTGCTCGTTACCACGTAACTCCAGTCAGTTACGCCA